TAACAACATTTAGAGACTTAGTAAAAATTAGCAAAACAACAGAACACGTGGTCTAATAAGCATATATTATTTTATATAATATTAACTAGTGAAAAAGAACTAAGAAAATCATCGATTCACTTCCAATTATGCAAAAAATTATTTTATGACTTCATATTAACTTTTGGTAGCATTATTTAAGTTATCTACATTGAGATATAAAAAATATATATAAAAAAATATAAAGTGAAGTTACCACTGTATGCTTGGCACCTGTTGCGGTTGAAATGGCGTTAATTAAAAAATACTGAGCCAATGACATGAACAGACAGCCAACCTTGAGGTCGAAAATTCTTCTGTTCTACACTGTTCGACAGAACAGCAAGGTTAAGAGTACCAACCCACTAATTTAAGGGCGGTATATTTGAAAAAGTTAACATGAGTTTGAATGATAACCCTCCCGTAAGAGACCAAACAATGAAAGAAATTAGCGATAACGTTAATCCCCTACATCAACCAGTCTAGAACAAACAGGTAGGCAAAATTCATTCAACTTCATATATAAAAGAGTGAAAAAACCGTCAACAGTGTAGTTGGATATACAACTACAGGTGAATGACGATAAGCACCTAATTTCCAAAAAGTCCAAGGTCCCACGCTTGGAACTTTAATTTATAAGATATTCAAAGAATGAATTGCATTAATTTTTATTAAAGTAAAACACCAGAAATTCACATTAATCAATGTATGAAAAACGACAAAGTATGCAATGTGAGTTGCATAAGTAAGTCTAAGTTAATTGACATTATTGTAATATTATATTTTATCAAAGTATTAATTATAGTAAGTTAAAGTTTTAGAATTATTTATTAAAACAAATGTGTTAAATTGTACGACTTTAGAGACACATACATAATGAACTGATTGTAAAGCCTAATTCTGCAAAATTAAAGCATGATATATTTGGCTCAAGTTACTTATGTCAGTTCTCTTATTTAAAGCATTAGGATGTTTAAGAATAGAACACATTTCTAAGAACTGTCTTTTACCAAGATTGCGCTTAGTGCCAAGAATTCTGACTTCATTGAAATTCACCTTATGTTTGGTGTTAATTGCGTGTTGCGCTAACGCACATGTGTGCTTAGACAGATTAATGTCACTTCAATGCGAAGTAAGACGTCCTTTTAGTGATCTTCCAGTTTGACCAATATAACAAGCGTTACACTCAGCACAAGGTAAGTAGTATATAGTGTTAACTTGTTCCAAAGTGGACAAGGGTGTTTTAGTTTTAGAAAACAAATTTCTAACGGTCTTAGCATTCTTAACTGCAATTTTAACTGGTATGTTATTCTGTTTATACAGTTTAATAAGCTTCTCAGTAACTTGAGGAAAATAAAGCAGAGATGAATAATGGGTGGTAGGATTCTCAAGATCAGCATTAGGCAGAACAATACTATTAACTGAATTATTTGAAATGGTTCTAAGTTGGTCACCATTGGGTATATCATCAAAAGAGGATCCATAACTTTGAGAATATAGGTATTTATTTATGATGGAGGATGGATATGAATTTTCAATTAGAATATTTCTTAATAACTTAAGGGATGCCCTTCGATTAATCGGATGTGTCAATTTATGTAATCTGCAACTAAGTGCTTTAGTAAGGTTCAATTTATATTTCATAGGGTGACAGGAATGGTAATTAAGGAACCTATTGGAGGCCATTGGTTTTCTATACCAACTTGTGGTGAGGGTGTTATCTCCCATTCTGATGACACGCATGTCTAAAAAGGGGATACTATTTGTGACAGTGTCCTCAAGTGAACTGTAAATGAGGATCAAATTCATTGAAAAAGGATAAGGTACCCTGAACCTTGTCAGGTGGTAGGGCTAATAATAAATCATCCAGATACCGCTTATATATATATATATATATATATATATATATATATATATATATATATATATATATATATATATATATATATATATATATATATATATATATATATGATGATAATTAACAAGATAAACAAATTTATTTACTTATTGAAATTTTATTTATTACTCAACATTAAATTCACAAATTAAATATTAATTCTTTGTTCACCACGCTTATCTCTCATGGTTGGCGTAAAATATACTGTCGCAAATGGGAGCGATAGATAAACAAAGACTTGAAATAATCCATAGGAGAGCTTTTGTCTAAAGGAAAGGCGAGTTTTTGGAGGTCCTGATACCACATTACACTGTCGAATCATCTAAAAATATGATATTAGATATTAGCGGTATCAATTTTATTAAGCTAGAAAGAACTTGTATTAATGTAACTATTAATTCATAAATTTTTGATTGTGATTGCAACACAATATGCGAAACAAATCCCGATATGCTATTCTACAAGCCATTCTGCAAGGAAAATTTTTTGGAAAGCGAGGTCCGGGGAGAAGAAAAACATCCAGACAAGATAAAAATTGCCATGATAATAAACATTCGTTACGGATAAGCACACCAAGAAGAAGAAGACTGGGAATCCAACTGGAATGTGATAACTATCGAGGCATAATCCTTCTGAACACCACCTGCAATATACGTTAAACATATTTTATAAAAGATTGAAGCCCTACACCGAAGCCTGTCTATAATATTAAATCATGTATATAATTAACCTCATCTTCAATATTGAGAACATCGCAGGATCAAGCATGTAAAAATGGTATGAATGAACTAGGGATTAAAAAAAATATATGTATTCAGGGATTCTACAGTACTCACTGCCTTCCCTCGATCAACTGTTCCCATCTCTCACTGTTGTTCCATTCACCATCATTTAGGCTTCTCTTACTCATGGCGGCGTCTACTTCGTTCCTCCAGAATCTACGAGGTCGTCTTCTTTTCCTCCTTCCTATTGGCTTTCATTCGGTTATTCTCTTTATCCATCTGCTAGTCTTTTTTGTTCTATATATGTTAGTATATCTGTTTCTATTGATGTTTTTTGCTTTATTTCGTTATTACTTCTTCTATCCACTCTTGTTACTCTGCAGCATCTTCGCAGGCATTCCATCTCTGTTGCTACTATCTTACTGCTGTTTTTATTATTTATAATCCAATTTTTAGCCCCATATGTCATAATACTTCGCACTAATGTTTTATAAATCTGTGTTTTTGTCTTCATATTTAGGTGTCTATCGTACGCCTTTCTCAGGTCCACAAATGTCAATGTATATATCTATTTTTTTCTTTTTTCTTTTCCAACAGTTGTTCCAGTGTGTATATGTGGTCCATGCCTAATCTTCCTGCTGTGAAGCCTACCTGATTCTCCCCGATTTTGCCCGATAAACGGCAAAATAAAAAAAAATGTGATTAATAAAAATGAACAGGACCAAAATGCTATCTGCAATAAAAATTCAGAACGACACACTAACTCCTTTTGAAAAAGAGAAACTTAACCTCTTCAAGAAAAATTCATTCGATACGTCAATTTAGACACCAAAAGAACTTTATAGTGTGTAATATTGCTACAGGCATCTATGCATGAATCTGTGTTTGATATGAACTAAATATTACTACCAGACTCATTACAAAATATAACAGAAGTGTTCTAAGTTACTTTGGTCATGTTACCAGAAGGAATGGTCATAGAAAGACTGACCGTCGAAGGTATAGTCAAAGATAGAAAATCGAGACGCACATATCCTTCACGGTGTTCTGATTCAATTAAAAAATTCACAGGATTTTCCCTTTCGGAAGCATCTCACAAAGCTTAAAATAGAGTTGAATGGTCAAACACAGTCAGTTAAAAATGTTGACTTTAAAATATCTTTGCGTGGAATAACGAACCGAGAAGAAGGCTATGGGTTTTGCAGAGTTTTAGCTTTTCTAAATCTTCCTCCATTGCTGTCAGCCTTTATCTTCTAGGTCTTCCTCTTTTTTCTCACACTCGTTATCACTTTTCTTAATGCAATCTTGGAAAGTTTTTTTTATGTATTTTCCCTACATGTTCCAGCAACCCTAATCTTTGGATCTAATTTGATGCATTCAAATATTCAATTATTTTCAGTCGTCTTTAATAGCACCATATTTTCAACGTAGCATCTTCCTTTCCTATATTGCAATCTTCTTTTCTGAATCTTTGTTCAACGATCACAGTTAGCAAAGGGTTCATTTAACGATTGGAAGCGCTTTATTAAATACGGTAGGTATATGTTTGAATAAATAAGGGTCACCTTTACGGATTTACTCCACTACAACTTATCTGAATTCGTAATAAAACTGAAGTAAATATTTCAACCAAAGTAGCAAATTTAAACCAAATTCGGTGAGCATATTATGAGACAAAAACAAGACAAATTGGACAAATGAATTATAAATTAAAGACCATGGAATTATAAACGAAATAGAGGGAAAGCACAATTTGAATGGTTAGATGACATAAAACAAAATGATGGCCCAAGATGGATTCAAATTTTCCAGAATAGGGAACGATGCGAATAAGGGAAGCCTTATGCCCCAAGATCGATTTTCCCGATTAATTAAATAGATATATAAACAATAAACAACGTAAATTATTAATTAGTTTGTAATAAAATAATATTTTTAAAATACTTACAGTGTTAAATTGCAAACTTTTTCAATCGTGTTTGACGTATTTGACAGAATTTAAATAATAACTCACGAATTACGACTATCAGAAGGCCGTGGTTATATAGAGGATTGTATAAAAAATGCTCATTAACGAAGTAAGTTACAATGAGAAGCGCCGAAATTTGATAAAGTTGTGTTATGTTAGATAGGCCTAAAAAATATAATATTTTGTTCATTTTAGCTTCTTCTAAAAGTTATATTATTCACCTTAATATACTATTATTACATTTTTGTTTCTTTTTTCAAACTTTGTTAACGAGCTAGGTACGTATTTTATTAGGAATTCACACCCACTTCCAATTTACTTGATTGTGCTGCCATCTATGAAAGGTTAATTTAATTAAAGAAATATGTGTAGGTTAGGTTATGTTATGTATTGTCAATCAAAAGTATGATTTGTGTTTATGCTTTTTTTAATGTACTAAATTTAAATTGTGATATATCGAAATGTCTAGTCAGAAATATACAAACACAGTTTTATTACTAAAAACTCAAAGCAACGAAACGTCTGATAAATACGCCCAATTATTAACTGACAACGGTTTTCAGGCAAGACAAGTAAAAACTTTAGTTTTTGAATTTAAAAACATAGAACTATTAGCTGAGAAACTGAATAAAGCCAGTTTATATTCAGGTCTAATATTTTCAAGTCCTCGATGTGTACAAGCTGTTAAATTAGCTTTTCAAGAGGCTGATATAGACATCAAAGATTGGCAGTTAAAAAATAATTTTGTGGTAGGGACGGCAACCTACACAGAAGCCCTGCATAGTTTAGGTTTTGAGTGCAGGGGAAGTGATAGTGGAAATGCAGTAAATTTGTTAGAATACATGAAAGAAGGTAGTCTTAAGCTTCGTTTATATGAATTTGCCCATACCAAATAAAGAATATACCCTCAATTTTTGCTTGATAAGAATTAGATGCCGTACCATAGTTTGTACAATATAATAATTCATTTATTTCATTACATAATTCTTTAACAGGACATTTACTTTTTAACAAAGTATCTTTGAAATACATTTTCAGTTTTCTTCAGTTTTTATTAATTAAGTACTAACTGCTTTTCTTATATCTAATTTATTCAGATATATCTTAGTTAGAGTGCTAAAGGTTATAATATGTATATGAGCCCCTTGAAGCAAAAGTGGTGTAACTCACATTAACCTATTAGTTTTGAGTTATGTAATGTTTTACTGAAATTGTTAATAAAGGTTTGTTTTAGTTATTATTGATAAAAATATAAAAAATATAACCATTTTATTTAACATAGGTACATTAAATAGTGTTAAAAAAAATTCAGCAATATATTTAATTTTTTTTTTTTTCATAAATGTGTTAGGAAAGATTTAACAATGTTTTATTTACATAGTTTTTTACTCATCTTCAATATTGAAATCTATCTGTAGTGGCCCTATGTCTTGAGCATCTTCAGAAGTGAACACATTCTCAAAATAGGGATGCTGGATGGATGAAATAAAAGGGAAAAGACTTTGGTCACAGGTTGAGGTCCACTATATAGTTTTGGTTGATCTATATTAACTAAAGATTATCTTTTTTTAGATCTCAGCTTTAGGTCTAGCTTGTCATTTCATCCAAAAGAATCTCCTTAAAGAGTATTGTGAATGGAGTTCTCTATCTTATCCACTGCATTTATCCTTTCATGATACTGCGTTACTAAACAATCGCCAATTTCTTGCGCCTCCGTAGATCCAGTCACTTCATCATAACAATACATGAATCCCTTTTTTGTTGAAAACTTATGGCAGCCTAAATTGTAGACTTAGCTTGGTTCTGAGAAATCTTCATAAAAAAAAACTAATTTTCAACTATACTAAATACAATTAAATATACAAATGAAACTAATGTATCAAAAACTAACATTCACAAACATATGTAAAAACAAAAACAGTTGCAGGAACAGTTGTGTACTTCACTTTGGCTATCAACCTATAAGTAACTTCACTGACAACACAAAATGTGTTACCTATCTGCACTGTTAGTATATGACTTATAACTTACGTCATTTGGGCTGATATAAAATACTTAATGCAGAACATTATTTAGACCTTAACAAAAATAATGGAAAATGGAGTTACACTCTTGTGTTTTAAGGAGCGCATGTAAAGGAAAATGTTTTATGAATAAGAAAATGAGTAGAATTGGAGTTCTTGTATCAATGTCAGGTTATATAATTACATTGGTATGTGTGACTGCAATGTGCATGCAGTTTTCGTACAGTGATTCTAATGCGAAATGAAACTTACCTAATTTACTATTCTCAATAATTACATAGCCAAGTTGACTCCAAACTTTTAGATTTCTTTTACTCTGATGTATTTTTTTAGTAAATTAGACAGTACCTAAGTCCAAATGTTTAAAAACAATGATATGAGTGTTCTCTATTTCTCTGGCTTCTGACCAGCAACTGAAGAGATAGTCAATAGATATCATCCAGGTCCATAGCATGCCTAGTTAATGAACAAAGCTCAAAAACAAACAATACACCCAAAGTACTATTAGATGTAGGGTTAATTTAAGTAAAATTTGGCACTATCTTTTGCCAAAATTTTATCTCAGTGTATTCTCTTCGTCATTTTTGTGTGTCTTGTATAACTTGATTATCCAATCTTAATCACAGTCAACCATGTTTTTTCTCTGTGCCCTAGATTCATATAATTCTTTTGCCAGTCTTTCATTATTCATTCTGTGTATGATTATAGTTCTTTATCTCTTCTTGTATTGCCTTTAAACTTTCGAGAAAATCTCATTTTAATAGCTGTAATTTTTCTTTTATTTTTTGTTACTTACTGCCCATCATTTCTGTTATGTATATATTCTTGATCATAGTAAAGTTTATGAGTCTCAGTCTGTGTGTATGCTGTATTTACTGATGCTGGGAGAAAAGATATTCTCTCCTTTGACTTTGGCATTTAAGTCTGCTGTTAATAGTTTTTAACATAATTTTTTGGCACTTATTGTACTCCTAGTAAAATGCCTTATGGAATGTGTATATTTCATTGTCCTCTTTCTCTTCAGTTGGTGCCTGATTATGTATAATGCTATTAAGTAGTAACTCTTTATTTGAATTAAAATCAACAATATTTCATTCTTTACAGTTGTTCATGACGAAGACAACCTGTTTTTGTATCCCCATGGAAATTTGAAAAGTGATACTTTCAGCAAAGTAGAAGAGAAACGAAAGATTCAAGTGGAAAGTGTGTTAGTATATGATACAATAGATAATCCAAATATCGAAGAAGAAATTAGTGTTGTCACTAATAATTTTACAGAAACTCCAGAATTTATGGTATTTTTTAGTCCTTCTGGTTTAGAAAGTTCCATAAAATACCTTAGAAAATTGCCTCTGTTTGAATCGAGTAAAGTAAGTTTTATCGTTTGTTGTATGTTTTTATATTAAACATTTTATTATTCATTTGGTAAGAAGTTTATGAGTTGCCAAAACAGATTGTAAACAAACAGTTTAAGCTGTTTATCAAATTTTTAAAAAATAAAACACTGGTTTCAAAAAATTCAGATTGGTGAAATATTGCAATGTAAAAATAAATTAGACATTTTGTATACCTGTTATATCGATACATTTTTGGCAAAGTAACGTAAGTCACCAAACACGATTTTTAGAAAAAACAATTTTTTAATTCAACCTGGTTAAACTTATTTAAATTATGACTAAAAAAACTTGTCCTAAAAAAGGTTTAAAGTAATTCTAGGCTTACTACACTTTGGCAGTACCTTTTTAACAATAATAGTGTTAATTTAATTGAAAAACATGATTTTGGAAAAAAATGTCACGTTACTTTGCCAAAAATGTATCGATATGGTAGATGGTATGTACAAAGATACAATAGGATCAAAAGCTACTATGTACCAAAACGAATTGTGTCATTCAGATGGTCAATCAAAAACTTTATGGGATGCAAGGTAAAAAATGAGGAAAAATATTAAGTAATATGATCTAAAAAAGAAGTGGAAGATAGATATAGCAAATTTCGACAATTCTTTTTTAATAAACTGGGTGACTGATTTATTAAGAGTACACCACTTTGTAATATTCCATTGTTACACCACAATCTTATATTGATTACAATGGTAGTTCATTATTTTTGCAATTAGTTTCCTCACAAGAACTGTTGATGATAAGTAGACTTCGGCAAATATGCAAATAAAAATGTAGAAAATATGCGCATAAATATGCACGTGTTTACCCGAAAATATGCAAATATTTTACAAAATATGTATACAAATAAATAAAAAAATCGTAAAATAGTAACAATTTTATTTAAAAAAAAAAAAGTGTACATAACTAAATATTTCCTACTATTCATTAAGATTTACATTTATTTTAAGTAACTACATCATTTTTAAGTATGAATAAACTTATTTAGAATTATGGTAACAATAAATGACCAAGTGGTGTTCAAAATTTTCTAACAAAAACTTGTGGCTTCTGTCTGAGTACATATATTTATATATGGAAAAACTTCGTTCAACATCAACTGATGTAACGGGAGCATTTTTCAAACTAACCAAAACATTTGGTTCTAAATTAATTGTTTCCGAAATATTTCCAGCTAGAACACTGACTACTTCAGAAAGAATATGGTAACCTTTATTTTTTTCCATAGTAGCTTCAAATTTTTTTAAAATATCTTTTCCAATATTACCTCTAACGTTCCGACAACATGACGCAAATTCTTTTATTAATGCTGTACTTTCGAACAATGACAGTTTTGGTGATTCTAACTGAGTAATTGTTTTTTGAACAAAACTAAAATTTGATTTTATAAATGAAAGTTCTTGTTGAAGCAAGTTACTCTGAAAAGTTTGTTTAGAATCCAAAAGAGATTGAGAACTTTCATCTGTTAACGTATCAGTTATGTTCTTTATTTTAACAAAATGATCTGCATAAAAATTAGCTGCTGCTAACCATGTTCCAAATCGCGTTAAAATATGTTGTGGTGGAAGAGGAATGTTAGGTAGCATTTCTTTATAAAGTTGAATTCTTATAGGAGATTTAAGAAATACTTTTTTGACACTGGATATCATGGTATTTACAAGAGGAAACTTTTTTCGTATTTCCTCTGCAACTCTGTTTAATCCATGCGCTACACAAGTAACATGTATTAAATCTGGGAAAAATATTTTTAAATTTTGTCCTGCTTTCACCATAAGGAGCAGCATCCGATAAAATAAGCAGCAATTTATTAGAAGGCATAGTTGTCGGAAGAAAACAAGTTGCTAATGTTTCTTGTATAAAACGCGAAATTGTTAAAGCATTTGTTTTCTCAAGTTGCTGGCATGAAATAAGATGAGATTTTGGTAAGGTATCTTCTTTAAGAACACCAATCAATAAATGAGCAATATACTTTCCTGAGGAATCAGTGGTTTCATCTACAGATATGTAAAAATAATTATCTGCAATTTCTTCCTTAATAAAAATTAACACCGACGAGTATTGCCCGTTCACATTATTTCTTCTTAGAGACCGATCACTTGGAACATTAAGTTTGCAATATTTTTTTAGAAACGAACTAAAATTTACATTTGCTAATTTTGAAAGCGGTATGTTTGCAGACACTAATGCGCGACACAAGTCTTCATTAAAAGTTTCTTGCTCATCTAATTTTTTTGAAGTAGATTGGAAACATTTAGCCATTGAAGTTTGATGTTTTCCTCCTATTTTTACTTTTTTTGCAATGTGTGAAGCAGTTCTCACATGTTGGTCTATCTGAAATTTCTTCTCACATGCTATCTATAAATAAAAATAAAAACTTTTATTTTAACCCAACCTTTAAAATATAAAAATATACAAGGTGTTTTTGGTTAATAAAATAACTGGTATGAAAAAAAAAACACTCGCTAAGTGTTTTAAATGCAGTATTAATTCACAAATTAGTTTTTGTTACTAACCATTAGTACATCATATAACTTATTTTAAAATTCAACAAAAGTTTTTTTTTGTTAATTCAATTACAATAAAAATAATTGTGTTTTGGAATAGCTGACTTCATAAAAAAAAGTAAAAGTGAAAAATTTTTCTAAATACACACCATTGTATTGTACCATGGACAATTTTTTCTCACTAAAGGAAGCTATTTTTCATTTAAAAACAACCTACGAGTACTAAATTTCAAGTAAATACGTTTATTGGTTTTAAAGTTATTGTTGTTATTAACTAAAAGAATTTAATTTTTTTTTAATTTTAACACCCTGTATCTCGAAAAGTAAATAAGTTTGACCCCTCATTAACTATATCGTTTTGTTCAATTTTTCGAGAAGTATCTACAGTCAAACGTTGTAAGTGTCATTTGGAAACACCCTGTATGTATGAAATATTAGATATTTAATAGAAAATATTAGATACTTACAATTTTGCCACAGACTGAACAGTAGATTTTTCCCATATCCATAGACAGCTCTTTATAAGGTTTAATCCAAGTTGAAGCACTGGTTGTTTTAGGCATTATAAAATCACAATCTTCCTTTTTGTTACGCACAACGAGTGTTTACGCTTTGAATATCGAAACAAAAATGATTTACAAATCTGATTTACAAACTGGGAGATTTTGGAAAATCCCTAAATTAGGAACAAAACTATTAGCCACTTACCTGCTGTTAAGATACAATAAATTGTAGATAGATTTGGGGATTAGATCATAAAATGCAAATGAGCGAACCCTTAGCGATTATCCAATAACTGAATGCCTCAGTGACCGAGACTTTCTAAAAATGTTGACGGCTACTTAAATTGATCTTCTTTGAAATTGTAAATGTTTTGTACCTGTAGAGATTACGTACTTAGATCATTTATTGATTAAAATGACTACAACATTTTATACAAGAATTGAAATAAATTGGTATGTTTAAAAATTTTCAAATACAGTATAAAAATCTGAACTTTTATGCACTTTATGCAAACTTTTATACAAATATGCCAAAATATGAAATATTTGCATAAAATATGCACAATATGCAAAATATGCAATATGCATATTTGCATATGCATATGCAATATGCATATTTGCCGAAGTCTAATGATAAGTAACAAATTCTAAAAAAAAATCTCTAGAGGCATTGATAAAGTTTCCACAAAGATTATTAAAATTTCTATCATCTGTTTTGTTCAACAGTTGAACATTTATACTACATAATGATAAATTTAATCAAAGTCGGTATTTTTCCTGAGCACTTGAAAACTGTACTGATAAAACCAAAACATAAAAAGAAGAATAGTTTAAACATGGAAATTTCAAACCAATAAGTCTTTTCTAAAAAGTTTTTTAGTTTGTTATTAGCTCCAGAGAATCTCTTGAGGAACCCTATGATATGCTTCTGTTAAGATCAAACTGTTTTCTTGTGGCATGGATAAATATTTTATATGAGATTAAACCACAATTTTAATTTGACTTTCAATTTCTAATCCGGAAATCATTTTCAACAATTTTTGATACTTTTGTATCGATTGCCTTATAATGAAATTTGCATCTGTTGTTCATATGTTTTGCATAAATCCAAACTGATGTTAGGATATTCCGGTTTCTTTATGTATCCATCTACCAATTACTCTCTCCATACTTTCATGGTGTAACTAAGTAGTTTTATGGCCCTGTAGTTTGTGCATTGTTGTATGGTTTCTTGTTTTTGTAAACCTGCACTAATATACTATTTCTTTGTTCATCTGGTATTTGTCCCACTTCCATAATTCTATTAAATAAACCTATCAGCCAACCTGGTCCACCTGCTTACATATTTTTGTTTTTTGTAGTGCTTGTTTAAATTAATCTTTTGTTATTTTGGTGATCAATGCTGTCTCGGATTGTTCAATTGGTTTGTTGTCAAAACCTTTGTTTAATAAACTGCCATTGCTTTTTGACATTCTTTTCTTTCAGAAATCATTTAATTTGTATTTATAAAATTGAAATGGACATTGAAAATAAAAGTAGTTTCAACAGGAACTATGATTAATTCCGATTAAAAACGGTAGATAGCAAATAGTATTTATAATCTGTTAATAACACTAGAACCATATCCCGCAAATGAAAACTTAAACATGAAACTGTCCAATTGTAGATTAAAACTCTCAATTTCTTTGTTCCTTAGCTTTATTTTATACTCAATATCAATGCATACTACTTAGACATGCACATTTTACCATGTGCTAATCTGCACCATAGAGAAATAAAAATAATTATTATTTTTATTTCTCTATGTCTGCACCATAACCTCTTCATCTTCATCTATATTTCTAATCATCTGTCATTCTGATTCACTCAATGACAGAACATCACAAAAAGTATTAAGGGAAGTATTATACTTTGCAGTAACTGATCCTCAAAATATGTAAATTTTGTCCTCATTTACATATATTTACCATTGCTCAAAATAAATATTACCACTATTACTAATACCAATTCTATTAATTTACACTGAAAGCGATGCAGCAAAAACAAATAAAGAGAAATGTTTGACAGGTCTTATGAGTCAAAAAACTTTGAAAAAAGGATAGTTTCTTGCCTGATTTTATTGCTGGGTGTTATCTATAAATAATAGATATTGTCGAGATTGTTGTTTTTTTTATGACAGTATATCCTATTTAAATATATGTATTTATTTTAATTTTAAATATAAAATGTTAAAAAAAATATGTTTAAATTTTAGTTAATCGCCATTGGTCCAACAACTGAAGCTGCTATTAAAAGTTTAAGTCTTCCAGTGTTTGGTGTAGCTAAGCAGCCTAATCCAAAAAGTGTTCTTGAACTTTTGTTGCCAAAATAAGATTATTGCATACAATACAATATAAATATAATGATGTATATAACAACTTCAGTGAGAAAGTGTATCTGTGGTAATATTATAATAACGTTTTAATAAATATAGGACAAAACTGATTTATGCTATACAATTTGTAGATTGTTATAAAAAATAAATATTTTTAATTTAATATGACAAATTTTCTTCTATTTTTTATGTTTGTCCTCTTTTCTTTCCTCGACATGTTTATTTTTATTTTCTTTAACCTTTCTTCATCATCCAGTCTCAGTTCGCCACTGTTAAAAATAAGCTTCCTCCTCTACCCAACTTTATGTCCTATACCGCTACTATTTAGTTTTTGTTAAGTTTGTCTAGATTACATTATATTAGAGGTAGTCCCACACTTCCGTCTCCCCATGAGGTCGTAGATGAATTATTTCACGTTGCAAAAGACAGAGAAACTTTTAGAAATGTGGTCGCCAAACTCTGTTAATGGGGACGGCATAGGAAGAAGAAGATGAGGTCGTATTCTCTGAACGTGTTTAACCTAACTTAATTTTTGTTTCGCAATAGTGGGCGGGATAGCTCAGGTGGTAGGGTGTATTATGCAGAAGGTTGGGGATAGATCTCCAGCGTCAGTGAAAACATCTAGATATTTTTGAGAATATCTACAAGCCTCAGGTCGACTTAGCATGAATAAAGTGTGTATATATAACAGCTCTTCAGCCCTGGAGGCCCATGGCTTGTATTTTCTTCATTATTTTTTTCACTCATCTCTGTTTTTCATCTTTCCCTCTCGGTCTGATATTTTTAATTTCCTTACATCGATTTTAACCACTTCTTTTTTGGTCTTTCTCGTCTGCGCTTTCCACCTGCTCCTCCTGTTAATTCTTTTTTGCATTGTGTTTGTGGACATCCTATAAACATGTCCCATCCAACGTACTTTTTGTGATTTTACTTTTTGCATGATGCTTGGTTGGTTGTAGAGCTCCATTACTTATTTGTACTTCTCCATACGCCGTCATTATCCTTTATATATATATATATATATATATATATATATATATATATATATATATATATATATATATATATATATATATATATATATATATCTTGTGCAATATCTTTATTTCCCATCATTTATTATCAACTTTTTAATTATTGTTTCCATTTTTTTAATACTCTTATGAGTCTTGATATTGATCTCATAATCAATGCAATATCGTCTGCAAAAGCGGTAACTTGTAATATATTGTACCGTCTGTCTCTACATCACTTTGTTGTAGAATAGTTTCTAGGGTAAGATGAGGTTAAATAAAGTTGTGGACAGTGGACCTACTTAACTTAATCCTTTCCTTAACGCCAAATAAAGCGTGTACCTTAAGTAAAACCAGGAGTGATTGGAACACTTTATATTCATTATATCGGTGGTGCAGGATGGAAACCTATGTTAAAAAATATCAAATTTGGGTTTTTGTTGAATATCTGTACAAAATATCGCTGTGTGTGCTTGACAAACCTCCTATCTTCTTCTTCAGATGCAAATCCACTAATGGATGTTAGCGATCACATTTTCCATTAACTCTCTATTTCTTGCAATATGTATCAGAGATTGTATGTCGTTAATCCCTGTCCATTGCCTTATGTTTCGGAGCCAGGACATGTTCTTGCGTCCCATTCCTCTCTTGCCTTCAATTTTACCCTCGATTATAAGTTGGAGGAACTGGTATTTTTCATTTCGCATGATGTGACCTAGATACGCCGTTTTCCTTTTCTTGATGGTTTCGAAAAGTTGGCGTTCTTGGTTTATTCTTTTAAGGACATCTATATTTGTGATTTTCGCTGTCCATGGTATTTTTAGGATACGGCGATAAAGCCACATTTCGAAAGCTTCCAATCTGTTTATATCCCTCGTTTTGAGTGTCCAGCCCTCTACGCCATATAGCAGCACTGACCATACGTAGCACTTAGTAAACCTTAGTCTCAGTTGAAGATCGAACTCAGAACAAGTCAGTACCTTCTTGAATTTTACGAAAGCTTGTCGAGCTTGCTCAATGCGACATTTTACTTCTCTGTCCGATGCCCAGTCTTCAAAAAGCCACGATCCCGGGTATTTAAATTTACTCACTCTTTCTATGGATTTACTATTCAGTGTTATGGTGGAGTTTTCAAATGCATCCAAGTTTCTGGAGATGATCATGAATTTGGTCTTTTTGGTATTAATCTCTAGTCCCATTCGCTCACTGTATTCTCCGATTATAGTGACAAGTTGTTGAAGATCGACTATGTTGTCACAAATTAAGACACTATCATCAGCATATCGTATGTTGTTGATCAATACTCCATTCACCTTGATTCCCATCTCTGCATCCTCCAAAGACTCTTGAAATATGGCTTCTGAATAAATGTTAAATAAAAGAGGGGAAAGCACACATCCCTGTCGAACGCCTCTTCTTATATGTATGGGCTTAGATATAGAATTGTCTATTTTTAGCTGTGCCGTTTGATGCCAGTACAAGTTTTCAATGCATCTTATGTCTTTTTGGTCTATATCAACTTTCTTGAGAATCTGCATTAACTTGTGGTGTTGGACACGATCAAACGTTTTTTTGTAATCTAAAAAGCATAGGAACACATCCTTCCTCTGATCGTAACAATTTTGGACCAGTACCTGTGTAGCTGACGGATATTCTCAAGTTAAAGTTGATTTCATGTAATCGAATGAACTATCTTATAAGTAAAGTCGTCCCAGGAGCGCAACTCAACAATATTGGCAATATCATTTTAAAGTCGTCTACTTTAAAACGCGTAATGTATGTCTGAATTGTCAATATAAATGAGTCAGATAAAATTAAATTATTAGAAGAATTTTTTCACTATGTAACAAAAAACAAAATTTGTTTAATTTACTGTTTGTATTTTGAGAACGATTTCCGAATTGGAAATTGAAACGTCAATAAACGTATTTTTATCTTTAATTGTGGCTTATTCCCAGTTATAAATAGTAATTAACATTAAGTTCATCTATACAGTACATTTAATTGAATTAGATATGGAGAAAATAGCAAATTAGAGTTGAAAGTAACGTTTTCCATATTCAAAAGGTAGACAATTGTATGCAAACATTATTTGTTACTTGGATAAAAAAAATGTGGAATTTGGCGGTGGTAGTGATAGTGAAACTGGCTTGAGCTTTGATAATATGTGCTAGGAGCTCGATCTTCTTAAATCACTGCTTATTGCATCAACAATTAATAATAATTTATCATAGTTCTTCGTTCAAACCATACATGCGTTTGAAAATTTATTTTAGGGAAGTCATTGTTCCAATGATCCCACAATCAAAGCCCGGGTGACAAAGGGGTCTAGAGTACATCGTTTTTATGTTTTAGTGTGTAGCATTTTCAATTTCATTGATTCTTTGAAGTATATTGAAATCCCCTTGTATATATAATATATTGAAATCCTCTCATAAATGTTTGAAAAATCGCAGAATATTTTTTATTCTATTTTAGTTTCCTATTTGTACGTATTAAAACACCGAATTCTTTCAATTTAAAACCTAAATAATATTTTGTTCTTTTCAGCGTCGCCAAGTAATAAAACCATTTGAGAGTTGTTTATTATTTTAAAGTGAGTACTTTCTCGGCATTTTCTTTTAATGTTTTATTCGAAGTCGCCTTATAATTTGCGTCATAGAAATAGGATATCTACGTTGTTTCGTTGTGTTTTGTTATGTCAGCGTTTGTTTGTTTTCAAGTTATATGAACGAATTTTTAAGTTCGTCATTCTTACTTGGGTCGTCGTAGTGTCGAGTATGGATCTAATTCTTACTTGGGTCGACGTAGGGGTAAGGTAGATTAATTCTTACTTGGTTCGCTGTGTGGATCGCAAGTATGGATGCGCAAATTCTCCGTCGAATTTGTGTTCTTCTGTTTTTTTGCCCATTTAGTGAAAATATGTAGCAGTAAAAAATAATTTGTGTAGTATACCAGAACATGGTATAATTTTGAAGCCATATAGGATGTCCCATAAGCTTTGTTGCCGTTTTCCTGTTTGATCCAGCCCATCCACGTCAGGTCTTCTTTTGTTCCAGTTTGGAAATGGTTTCCTTTTGTTCCAGAGTTTCGTCCTTGCAGTTTCAGTCCTAGAGATGTAGCAAGTTTCAAAGTTTAAGTGCAAAAATATGTGAAAAAACAAGGTAACATTTAATGTTTTAAATTTTAAAGTAAAGACAGACATTTTCTTGCTAAAGTAATAATTGCTTTCATTGTTTAAAAAGATAATTTTTTATTTGTAATAATTCTTATATTTGCCACAGTTTGTGCGTCAGTAACATAAGTAAGTTTTTGTAGCATCTCCTGAATTTATAAATTGGTAGAACGCATGTAAGTTTTTTGTATTTTGCGACTATCGTGGTAATATTTTTGTATTTTTTTAACATTCTTGGTTCTCTATGTTTTGTAACTGTTTGTGGTATGACACAAAAATAAATGTTAAATTTTGTTTTCTTAACATTTTGTTTATTTTTTTAACTAACCCTTTTTTTAAGTTTTATTTAAAAAAGATATGTTTTTTATGTTTTGTTTTGTTTATAATTATTTCTTTAGTTACAAACTAGTTGTTGTACTAGTTATAATTAGGCACCTCAAAGGGGCACTCTATATAAATTACTAGAGGTGTTTCCTGTTTCTTTTTGTTTTTTTTTGTCCCAAGAGATTTGTATAAGTACCCCTTTATTTCATTTTTTTGTAGTTGCCCCAATCCAACCCCTTTATCTTTTACTTATACACGACATGAGCTCTCCTACCAATCCCTGAGTGCCGTTCGCATGTTTCGTTTATTTTGCTTGCCTTATCTTCACCGCCATAGTTTCAGTCCCCAATTTTATACCCCATAATCTTACCCCGTGTGGTAGGCAAAATATTTTCGTTACAAGTGATGTAATCATTCAAAACGGCGGATGAGTGCTGTTTTGTAAAAACAGATGTTTCTACGATTTTGTGCTAACCTAATTGGCAAATTGCTAGACATGCCATCTGATTCCGTTTACGTCTCCCGTGAAAACCAGGAAACTTCATCTATGGATATGTTATGGAAAACCAAAAATACAAAAACGTCTACAACCAACTTTATATCCTAAATAAAACTACAATTTTTAATAATATATTTATTATTGTTAATTAAATATCTATTTAGGTATGAAGATACCAAATCGATAAGATTGATCATTTTCAATTTTTGTATCACAGTACTCGACATCTTATTAAAAAATGCATCCCTATGAGCAATTCGTATAAAAATCAACCACATAAAAATTCTAATGTACAAACCTATACACAACTTAAAAACTAAACACTTTAATAACACCAGAATGTACTATTACTTACTGTCACCCACAAAAATATGTTTTCCCTAAAAAAAATACACCCTCCATCCAAAAGTGTCCATTTTTTTCAAAAATTGAGCAAAAGCTGCTTTAATTGCAAAAAAGTTCATTCCATTATAAATATATTTCAAATAAAACAGAAAATTATTACATAAAGACTTTATTTGATGTTTCGGCTTCCGCTGCAGGGCCAAAGTGTCAAATAATTTCTTTTAGAATAATGTGGGTATTTGACTTTAAATACAATATATAATTTTGTTTTTGAATTTATTTTGATAATTTGAGGAAAATTTTAGTTTTTTTAAAGAAATATTGGCACTTAATTATGGACAAAGGGGGTAGTCCGTTTTTATAGCTTTAATTTTAGATCTGTTTTATATTTTAATTTTTTAAATTTGTATGTACATATTTTTAAATTTTTTCTTAATTATATCTCTTAGGGATATGTTTTTTTTTTCTTAAATTAAGTAAAACAAGAAAAATATTGTTGGATCTGAGTAAATAATGAATATCACTCGGCGTTGAATTAATTTCAAGAGCGTCTGAAAACTTCTGATGCTTCGAAAATATCCTTGTTCCAATGTGAAAATATATCAAAAGTTGACGAACGTTCACGATACTTATATCTCGTACTAAGGCCTCCTAAACACTTGTTACCGGAACTTTTGCACTCTTTGATACAATGCGGAGACGCATTCAGAATCGTCCTGGCTTTCTTGGAGATAGTACAACCTCATCTTTTTCTCCGAATGGCACTCGAGAATGCCCCAGTGTTGGTACAGCTTTAGGGCGTTCTTAATCGTATCCACTGAAACGCTTTCTCCTAAAACAAACAAAAACATCTTATATATAAGCCCGCAATCGGATTAGCAACATGGAACATTACTTCTTTCAACAACAAAGACCAAGAGATGATAGAAAAACTGATAAATAAAAACATTTGTGTAATCCAAGAAACCAAGAAGAAAGGTAAGGTCAAAGAGACTATAACCAATATTTTCTAGCATACCATGGAGTGAAAAAAGAAGAACGAGCAGGTGTAGGTGTACTTGTCCATAAAAAATTTAAAGACAACTTAAATAACTGCCGTTATTGGGACCGTGCAAGTTCGGAACAGCGACACCTGGTGTCGTAAATCAGCAAAATTTACTGCGCTTTCAAGTTAGATCGAGGTTACCGGATAACTGTCAAGGACGTAGCCCCAAAAAATAATAAGAAGAAAAAGTAAAATTGAGGTTATGTCGGTATGTTATTAAAAGGTAAACGTTGTATGTAGTGTAAATACATATAAATATATTATTAAATTACAGCATTACTGCTAATATGGATGCACTAATAAAAACTGGATTTGAGAAAGTAAATCACCAAATAACTTTTCAACCAAGCACTGAGTCAAATGAAAAAGCTTTAGTAGTGGCAAATGTCAAAAAAGAATGGAAGAATTAAGAAAAATAATTTACCATAAATAATGCTAATGCATAAATTAACAGGTTAAGCCCATGATATCATCATATTGGCTTGAACAATTAATTCTTTCCCTGTAAACTTTTGGACAGCGAATATATCTTAATGCATCTTCAGAAAAACTTTAACTTGATGCATTTTTGTAAACTTCAAAAAAATAAAATTTAAACATTAAACTTGATTTTTGGGTTAAAATGAACTCTAAGTGAGTGTTATGAAACTAAAATTTACACTTAAAAGTGAACTTTTATTTATTATTTATTTCAAACTGACTTTAAAATCGGGCGCAAGAATAATGTTAGGTTATGTTACTTATGCCTTTTTATGATATAAATCCACTTTTCTCTTTGTAGTAATTTGTGCTTCGAAGTTGGAAACGAATAAAACTTAAATTGACAATTTTTTGTTGTATTTTTACAATTTATAGCACAGCATTTCCTAAATCCCATTTTCTTCAGTGACAGAAGGTGTAAATAAACAAACGAATATGAAATATGGCAATTGACAATATGAATTTATGAAATCTATGAAATTTGCAGTAAAAAATGGAAGATTTCTCCGCTACTCGCGCACGATCGTTTCTCGTATCACATCCAAGTACTTGCAAGTCGCCAATATCTCCGAAAGAATAATACATATGATCATCACAATGGACTACCAAAAATTAAATGTCATATCTATCTATAACCCCAAGGGCTGCAAACCTAAGAAGGAACGAGAGGCATTCTACGAACAAATGCAACCTTTCCTGAATGAAATACCTCATGACGAAAAAGGAGAAAGCTAAAAGATTTCTAGGCCACTTCACACAAAAAAAATATTTTTTCGGAATTCAATGATTCCTGTAACTGAAATATTGTGAGAAAACACTTACCATATTTTATTCCTCCGGACGATAGCTGAGATTTAAGTTCCTCCAACACATCATTGAGTAGTTCTGACTCTAAGAGCTGCCTTCCAACCAATTTGTCCAGCGTAAATGCAGTGATGGCGTAGGTGTCTACAAACGGTGCTATCGGTACTCTAAGATACTTGAGCGCATCCACAGCCTCTTTATTGGGGTTCAGTTTGTATATTTTTGGAGAAACTCTTTCCTCTTCGTGCTCATCATCATCGAACTGTCGAGCTAACCGCCTGCTTCTTATATTTAATTCACTTTCTTCCTCGCTGTCCTGAAAAAGAGAGTTAAATTCAGCCAAATTGTTTAAACACAAATCTATAGCATTTTAATCAAGATTTTACAAAACAAAAGATTATTTTCTGTAAGAAAATCATCCCTCACACTATTATAATATTATACTGAAGTGAAAGTTTTCTGGAAACAATAGCTATTTGTACAAGAAGGGAGCAAAGTGCTACGTTTCCTCCCGAGAATGAAGTTTACTAGTTTAGTAATCATTCAAGTGATGAAAGTGCTTCTCTAAGTACCAAACAACTTTATACCTAGTCAATAGTAAGTTAGTTAGCTTAATTATTATTAATTAATGTTTGATTTCACTGAGAGAGACAGCAATTACGTCAAAATGCATGAATATGTATAACTTTTACAAACTTTTGAACTAATTGTAGTGAATGGTGAGTAACTAGTAGAAATCAACAGTAATTTAGTTTGCTAAACTATATTGTCTATATATTACAATCATACTTACCACTAAAAATATTTGTTTCCTATCAATTAAATCGTCAATGCAGCTGGTAATGATCTGCTCGAGGTTTTGGCACGGTTTACAGAACAAAAACTCGAATTGTAACATATCACAGAGCTCCTGGACGTTTTCGACTAGATCCTGCTGGACAACGTTGCCAGACGTGCGATCCATAGCATCTATGGCGATGGCAATAACTGATTCCAGTGCAAAATGTGTCACCAGAGTATTACTGTAATAGGATAATTCGATTACGTTTGGTAGAATTGCTATTGGTTTAATTATATCTTCGTTATTGACTTTTTCTTTTCTTATCAGACCTGGTCCTAACATTTCAACCTACAAGAAAAATATTTGATACATCAAAATTTGCTATAGTATAGTAAATAATTAAAAATTAAAGTTTTACCAACGTAAAAATTATAGGTATGTCATTTGTCATATATAATTCTAAATAATTGTCAGTTGACAAATGACACCTACTAAACTATTGTCCGCAAAATTATAAACATTACTTACGGCGTAATTAATAACATCTATGGAGTCTCCAGTGAAGCCGATATCTTTTCTTTCGTATTCTAAGTCTCTACGTAATGCATCGAATGCTACAACAAGTTTTTCAATACTGACACCATCCCTGAAGCATGTCAATAATAAATAAGCGAGTGCGTTTGTTGACATCACAGAAGAAGATTGTGCACAATCTGAAAGAAATATGGAGTATACTGATTATTTATTACCTACTATATGACTTTTTTATTTATTCATTCAATATTCTTTTGTATTTATTCATATCAAAAGGTCAGTTTTCCTAACCACATCTTAACGAATCTGCTTTAAGACATTTCGATATTAGTACCCTTAACATACATGTGTGTTATTCAGAAGGGACTTCCTGTATAGTAAGTACATTACTACTAGAGTCTGTCTCACCTTGACTTTACAGTACAGGTTCTTATGACCAACAGTGATGCCAAATTTTATCAGATGGTTTGAAGCAAATATACTTATTTCTATAGGATAACTATAAATAACTTTGTTTATAGGAATTGATATTATTGATGTTTTGTGGCTGTAAGGGGTTAAAAAAATAAAAATAATTTTGTATAAAACATTTTTATAATAATCTATGTCAGCGCATAAATATGTTAAACCTTAATAAATACGTAGGTACCTACATAAATAATTAAAATGTGTTTAAACTGTGTATTTTACATTTCTTCTATACTCCCGTCTTCCTCACTTTCACTGCCACCGTCGTCATTAAGGTTTATTATAACTGGGTCGATATTGTCCAGTAAATTATCGATATTCTACATCTGTTTTTCTATTCTAATTACGTGTGGCACGTAATTATTCCATTTTTGTAGAGTAACTTGAGAGTACGCTTCCTGTATTACATTTTCTACTTGTTCCTTCGTAAAGTTTGTGTTATGACACTAATTTTAATTTATTTGAGACACATTTCAATTTAAGAGAGCTTATGCTTATAATAAAAGAACGGAAAACACAATATTTTGGTCACATCATAAGAAATCAAAAGTATGAACTGCTCCAACTTATAATCGAAGGCAAAGTCAATAGCAAAAGAGGACCAGGAAGAAGACGCAACTTTTGGCTTAAAACCCTACGGCAATGGACGAACATGACCTCCATAGAACTATTCAGAGCTGCTACAAATAAGATTAAATGGGCAAATGTATTGGCCAACGTCCTTAAGGATAAGGCACCGTAAGAAGAATATTAATTTCAAGTTGAAAATCGGTCGTTGAGAATAACAAAAAGTTGCAATTCAGATTAAAATTTTCCAAATAAGCAATGAGTTACTCAATATAATGTTATCAGTAATAATTATAAGCATATTTTAACTATTCTAATATTCTTTACCAAAAACAGTTATTACGGATATCGCTTATAAAAATTGCTGATTACTTTTCGAAAATGACTATCACTCAAAAAAACAACATTTTTAGGGCTCTATATTTTTAGGACCCTGGTAATGTTTGATTGAAAATTCTTTTTTTTGAAGAAAATTGGCATCGCCGCGCTAAAAACTCCCATAAGGATTGCATTGCCGTATGTGCGTATACTGTAAAGTCAAGGAGGGACAGACTCATGATACTATAACAAAACAAGATAAGTCAACGCGCATGTTCTTGTGACGTAAGCCCGAGACAACTCTAATGACGGCAAGTTAAATGCTCATGTTAATTATGTTGCTGTGTTAATCGAGTTTGCTATTCTGTGTATTTCAGAACGTAGTGAATGATATTTTTATTTATTCATTGATGTAGTAAAGACTTTGTATATTATATTGTTATATAAATTTTGTGGTGAAAACATCAGTTCATTTAGGTAATAAAATTCCGAAGCGCTAAAACATCGCCTGAAAATAGACGCAAAAGAAGAATGAAGAAAAGAAATGTATGTATGTATGTAAGTATTTTGGTTTTAGACACACTTTAACAGCCGAGCAAATATTTCTATAGATAATAATATAATACTAATGCCCATTTTAATAGAACTTGAAGTAATACTTTATTTTTGATAGGTCTTTAAAAAAAGTTACGTTGGATGTATGTAGTATGTAGTGAACTGAAACATATTGTTCGTAGTTATAATGGCGACACATTAAAAATAACAAAAAAATATTTTAAAAAACTTAATAGAAGCTGCAAAATATGTACATAAATGTTAGCGAATATGTAAAATTACTTTATTTTTTAGATAGAAAGTGTATTTTAAAATACGAATTCTAAATCAAAATATTAAAAATAATTACAATATCCGCAAAAGAAAAATCACAAAGATTCTAAAATAAATGTCTAAATGATATTCATAAAGTCTCAAGTATGACACGCTTTTCCTTTATGATCAAATTCTTTACATTTTGCCGGCATTTTATATTTAATTTATGTTTTGTAGCAATATTTATTTTGTTTGAAATACACACAATCAAATCGTAGTGTCATACATTTCTTTAATTAATTTTACAAATTACTTATTAATTTTCAAAACACGTTTTCACAGAAAGTAACTAGTTATGACTTGTTAGTGCAAGATATGGCATCGAGGTATACTTACCGTTAACAGTTTAAGTTTCATTCAAAAGTTATTCATTACAGTAATGGAACAACGTTGCCATATGATGCATCGTTAAAATATGATACACACAAGTCCCCTGGCTTTGTCTCGCTATGACATCATGCGCAAAGTCGATTAAAATTAGAACGGCAAGTGAGCATATCTTGTTGTTATAGTATCATGGGACAGACTACAGTCTAGTCATAATAATGAGCATTTAACGTTTGTAGGAAATGTATTACTTTCATCAAAATTACAACGACCAAATGTCAATTTGACGCCTCAAACTTCATTTCGAAATGAAATGTATTTGAAACCATATTAATGCCATAGATCTCTTGTTTTTAAATAATTACTGATTTAAAATAGCCAGACAGTGGAATGTAAAAGAACCTTTTTTCAAAAACATACAAATTAGGAGTAAAAAAACAGATCTAAGTATATTCATCAGTCTCTACAATTTTTACCAACGATCTTCATTGATTGGTAATTGCTACCTAAGATCCTTTATAGTAAAAATGATATATTCAGAGTATAATTTATTAATATATTTATTTTAAAACTGCAATTCAGATTATCTGTCAATTTGTTCCTACTAGTTATGCAACCAATAATACCGCATACCTTTTTCAATTAATATGATAAGTTTATACCTAGATAGTTAGTTCACTTCTGCAAGGTGCTTTGTAACACTTTACGCTTTTTCTATAATTTAACAATGGTTTTCGGTTTGCAAGTCAAAAAGATAAATAAAATGGAAGATTGTGAAATTTTAGCCACAACATTACGCATGTATATAAGATTTGATAGTTTGACTTACCATAAATAATGTGTTTTGAGATCCGTTCGACAATACACTTGTGTTCATCTGACACTACATCAGTACCATACAAACTAGTCGTGGAAGGATTAGACTGCAGCTTGTGAGGTATACCATTAGGTATGGGCAACTTTCCATTTGCATTAAATGTTTTGATAAGCTCCTAAAAAATAAACGTGAACTATAGTGTAAGAGTAATTTAATCTAATTTAATTCAAAAACTACTTTGTGTGTGAAATTATGGGGGCTTTCTCATGAATAATTTTCAAAAAATTTATAAAATCGATTGTTCACTTTCACATGCAAAAACAATTTAATTTTTCGCTGTATTAATTCCCATCATTCTCTACCTCAATTTTAAAATTATTACCCTAGTCCAACCCTTGGTAATAGTTCCAACTCCCACTTCAACCCCACTCCATTAGAAATACAGACAGTTGTAAGATAGCAAACAACAAAGACTCTCTTTCCTGTTGACTATCGTTAGGAACAGACGTATTCTCTCTATTGTTGACTGCCGCTAGCAACAGACATTATCTCTCTTCCGCTTATAGTTACGCGAAAAATACCGCGAATCCTCTTTTAAATCGTATACAGACGCAAATGAGCTCTATTTGGTGATCACAGTGTTAGTACCGCGAGACCCGTGTTGAGAAACCGGTAAAAACAGCTTCCCCGTACAAAGAACAACCAAGTAAAAACCTGTAAACTCCACGACTGTGCGTAGCAGCAGTATTGTTAAGACTTTGTATAAACTTCATTTGCTATTGTCTGTCTAAATCTTTACTAATTATCCTAATTTGTTTTGAACCAGTCCTATGTAATACAGTCCTCATAGACTGAAATTTGAATAATTAATTTCACATATGTACACCCCTACACCCCTTTTTTACATCGATAAAAAGTTGTAAAAAACCAATTTTTAGAAAAATGGTTTTGTCAAAACTACCATTTTGCAACTGGTAGGACACTTTGATCCGAATCTATGTACCTGACCGATTCTACTAAACCAAAAAAGTTTATTAATAAACAAATTATTTATAAAAAAACTAGATAATAAGCATCTAAAACTTAAAAAAACTGCCCCCCCCCCTTTGTTATATGTGTGAATCCACAAAAAAATAAGGCGATTGTTCAATTTCTACAGAAATATTCATGTAACATCCTCAAAATATAACTAATTATATATTTTAAGGGATTATTCTTTAGTTTTGAGTCTCAACAATAGAATCCATTTTGAACTTTCCGAAAAAATTTTACAGTCGGTCCCTAATGTGTTCTAGAGTAAAAAACACTTTTGCAAGTCGCATCTAGAGCAATAAAGATGAATTAAAATAGCCAAAAAACTTTTTTTTATGTGCTCAAACTTATATTTAATAATATCCAAAATAGATTTTGTTAATACATATATATATATATATATATATATATATATATATATATATATATATAATATATATATATATATATATATATATATATATATATATAGTTTCTTTTAAAAAATGTTTCTTGAGAAAAAATTCAAGAATGTTTCTTGAAAAAATTTATGCGAAAATACCGGTAACAAAATTTTTCTTATAGTCGAGTTATTTTTGGTTCCGGTATTAAAAATTTATTGTAGTAACATCAGGTTCTCATTTTATTATTTCGTAAATATTAATACCTGTATCTATTACAGGTATTTATTTATGTTTAAACTGGATCTGCTTCTCTTTTATTTTGGTAAATAATAATGGGTCTAAATATTCCAGTTTTTAATAGTCGAGTTATTTTTTGTTCCGGTACTAGTAAAATCAGGTTCTCATTTTATTATTTGGTAAATATTAATACCTGTATCTATTACAGGTGTTTATTTATATTTAAACTGGATCTGGTTCTGTTTTTATCATTTGGTAAATAATAATGTGTTTAAATATTCTAGTTTTGAATAGTCGAGTTATTTTTGGGTCAGGTATTAAAAATTTATTTTATTAAATCAGATTTTCATCTATTATTTGGTAAATATTAATACCTGTATCTACTACATGTATTTATTTATGTTTAACAGGTTCATTGTGTAAGGCGTGGATCCGCGTCCAGACCGTTCATTCTTTGGTACTAACGGCGACGATCCGCGCTTTAAGATCTAAGAGTAGCATCAGGTAACGGAAGTTACGTCACAGTTGTCACTTTTGTTGTTTCCCTTTATTCTGACACGTGTTTGACTATTGCAATGATGGAGAACGCAGAGCCAGGTTGTTCCAATGAATATATTTCATCGGAAGACGAATAGATTCCATCTACAGACGATGAGGATGGGGATGAGTTGGGTAAGTTGGAAACAAGTGAGTTTAAAAAAGTGTTAAATTTGTGTTGTTGTAGGTGACGACATTATGTCGGGTATTGTGCAAGCCATGCAAAACGAGGAGGAACCGAATGAAAATTTAAATCCAAATACAGGAAATCCAAATACGCATGAATGGCAAAATGATAATGATGGAATGAAACAATTTGAGTTTATTAGATGTTGCAACTTGTTGGTAGAGCCACCACAAAGTAAGACACCTTTTGATTACTTTCGTCTTCTGGCTGATGAAACTTTTTTTGAGCTGATAGTGACAGAAACGAATCCGTATGCTGAACGGCTATTTCTATCCAGTGTTACAGAAAGATCTAGAGTAACCAATTGGAAACCACTCATTACCGAAAAAATTACATTACATTTTTTGGGCTACTATTACACATGGGGACATGGAAAACCAACAACGCAAGATTGGAAAACTGATAGTCTTTTTAATGTAAAGTGTTTCCCAGAAAATATGAGTAGAGACCGTTTTTTGTTAATTGTTCGGTGTCTGCCCTTTGCCAAAAACCCAGGGGTAGGAGAAGTTCCTCCTATAATGAATTTTTGACCTTGACCCATCAAGAAGTTTGTACAGCTTTCCTGTTTTAGTGCATTTAGAGGGTTTTAATATAATACCACAATACTAGGTAACCTTTCATGGCTACGTTGACAGCTGTAGCCTGAAACTCTGCTGTCTGATAGCCCACCTTTTGACAGTGTCTACTAATAGTTCCTTTAATGATAACCGCACTATCCCCTATTTACTGCATTAGCTGGATGTATAGGATGGTATATTTTATAGCTCACCCAGCCCACCTTTTGACAATGTCTAATAGTTTCTTTAATAATAACCGCACTATCCCCTTTTACTGCATTAGCTGGATGTACAGGATGGTATATTTTATATAATCGGAAGCTGATTTAGAATTCTTTAGTATAATGTGTTAATGAGATGAGACACACGTCTATTTTTTCTAGATCAAAAACTGTTTGCAATTCTTATTGGTGATTCTGAAGACCATTGATGCCCCTAATTTGCTGTAGTAATACTTCGGTACCTCTAGTTTCTTTTCGTGATGATTGTTTCTCAGTATCCACATTTTCCTCCTTGAGACATCGCTGTAGGTTTTGTTTTTTCTTCACGATGATCCTCCACTGGTAACACGGCATTTCACTGAGGATGCCGAGGTTGGTAAGACTTTTTGTTTTGCTTTTGTCGGAGTTTTTGTATCTCTTTTGGATACTCATACCCACAAGGTACACATTTAGGTTTGTCACATCCTTCCGTTAAATACTTGCCAGTGCATCCGACACATCTTGGTTCTTTCGCACAATACTTGTATACTTGTGTGTATGTCCATACGCCTGACATCGTTTATAACATTTTAGCATTAAGGTACAAGTTTAACGTGAACATAATATGACGTCATATAGAGGTCACGTGATAAATTATAAAGGTTGTGGAGCGAAATTGTACGCGAAATATAAAATATATCATTCTTATAACATTAGTTGTACTTATACGTTGCTCTATATGAACGAAAACTAGATTAATCTAAAAGCACGGCATTATATTAAAATCTGAAGTTAAACATTTATTGCATATATTATGTTACTTACCCTTAACGAAAACGGTTGATTAAAATCTATCCTCATCATACCATAATTGCTGTTCAGAACCTTCCAAATACCTCTAACGGCATTGCCAAACGTTTCCATTTCTTTTGGTTGGCCTAATTGTTCACGAATGAAATTTCCATCAACTAATTTTTCGTAATTCACACTAACTGGCACCAAAAGGGCATCTTCTATCGTACCTGATAAATAGAGAAAAATTGATGATACTACTCTAAACATACATCAGTCATAAAAAGCATAGCATAGCATACAACCAAAAATAATTTATTACCATCCATGAAAGTGTCTACAATAACACTCAGTATTCCATATTTTGGCATACACGGCTTTCCGGTTCTCGTTCTTCCACCTTCAAGGAAAAATTCAATGTTATGTCCGGCCCTTAAACACGTATTCATGTAGGTGTGTAGTACAGCTTTGTATATATGATCTTTGCGTCCCATCACTGGATCTACACGGCGTTTGATGAAGAATGCTCCTAATCCTCGCAACAGAGATCTAAAACCATATTAAAAAAATCACTAAATGTTCAGGTGAGGATTCATCTGATTTTATAATCTCAAATACACAATGAAATAGGCAGTGGGCAAAGGGAACAAAGAGACAAAGATCAATTGGCAAGGTTTCTTCTGCTTTCCTATTTTGATATTTTGTTTGTGTACTATCGTGAGAAAGAAATAAATATTCAGTAATAGAGATTATACAGCATTATCGGTGAATTTGAATAAAAATAATGCAAAAAAAAACAGCCAAATATGCAGAAAAAAACTATTATAGTTTTAGCCGCTGAAAAGATTGCTATTATAGTATTTATATCGTTTTTTACAGGTTATTGATTTACATTAAATTTAAACATTTTCACAAAATTCACCAGCCAGAGGAAGTGAAACACAAATCATGATACATAAAACATTTAAGTTATGGTATCATGACACAAATAATGGCGGTGTAAACATTTTCTCAGTAGGTCTAGTTTTGACTGCCTGTCGATGCTTGATTTGAGATCATGCGACCTTGGATTCCATGTTTTAAGCGGCCAGGGTATAGTGTCACTAATAGACTGCAACGATGACAAAAGCTCACAAACTGCTTTTTGAATTACTTAGGCACCCAGCTATTCTTCAGATTTGGTTCCTAGTGAGTCATAGCTATATGTAGAGCTAAAAAGAGTACACCATATAAAGATTTCGAAAAGATAGGGTGGTTATTGAGGCAAATGAAAGACATTTGAGATTACAAGGAGATGGTTCTACAAAAAAGACGTCGTAGGAGATGATATTGATGAATTAGTACTATTTTTTCTTTGCTGGAACCTGTCTGTTGTAAATCGGTCGTACTTCGCGGTATTTTATTATTTTATGGTCTACCGCTAGGCCAAAAATAATGTTCCTCTATTAATAAATCGAAATTATCACATAATATCAAAGATAAAAAAATTCTACTTACCCAAAAAATGGTATCCTCAAATTATCTCCAGCTGCCACGAGCGGCGATCGTATATTATTGTTTAACAAAATAAACGATATCAAAATATAATCCAAATGTGACCTATGTAAAGGTAAGAAAATGAGCGGAAGACTCGATTTTCCAGCTTTCTTCAACATTTCAACTTGGCCCGGGTGAACCACAACTGACGTTAAGAAGCAAGGAAGTAGTTTGTAACAAACCCATGATGTAAACCTAGAAATAAAAAATGTACGTTTAGTGGAACTATTGGGAATATATAAATATGTTCTGGGATACGGCATATTAAATAAAAATATTAAATATTACTGTTACATGTCGCCGTGCCGGTGTAGTTTCCAAGGAGGGGTTTTGGTTTGAGTAGGGACTTTTCCGTACTTCTTAGAAAACACACTCAAACTTATAGCCCAACAAAAAGCATCAGTGCGATTAGAAAATGAACTGTCCGAGATCTTCACAGTCGAAAAAGGAGTTAGACAGGTGAGAACGAAGGTGATATTTTGGCATAAATTGGTAACACTTATTTGACAGTTGCGGTGTTGACACTTTTGTGTACTTTATTATTTTGAATTTTAAAGTGAATACCTCTTGTTTTATAGTTTTACCTATTTAATAAAATCTGTTCTTTTTAGAACAAAATTAGTGTGTTTTATTTCAAAAATGTCACGTAAGAATTTAAATAGTCGTTGTAAAGAGATGGTAATACTTTTGCAATAATTATGTGACCTATTTGATTTAAAATGGAGGTCAGGATTTTTTTATACTTTGGCAACTATGTCAACTTTGATCTCTGTCATGATAATGACGTGCAACGGTAAGTAAATTAGATGTAGTATTATAGACCTAAAATAAATTTTCTATGTGTGAATGAATTCCTATTCACTACCATATTCACTATGATACTTGCAATGTGTCGTAAAGGCTTATAACTTCTGCAAAAACAACTTTATTCACATGGTACCACTATCACCTCACATATCACATATGAATCAACCTTAAACCGTCTTAGTGAGTCTGCTCACGAATGCTTTTTAGACATAATGTGATTTCTATCTGACATCAATCGGTCATACAAGAATAACCCAATACGATATTATATTTATAGATATACTCACTTAAGTAAAAAATCTGATAGCGTCGATCTCATATCAAATAGCAACTTCTTCGCGCGTTGCTGGTTGTTTTTTAAGAGCTTTTGGTAAAACTCTTCATCGCTATTGTTGGCATCGTGAAACTGTTGAATGGCTGCCTTATCGATGGCTTCTTTAAGACGGCTATCTTCCAATACTAGATCTGCCACCTGTGGATATTTATAGGTCTTGATTTGTGACACTTGATACAAGTGAGAAAACGTTTTTCGGATAAACCCGCTGCTGACTGGTAACTGGTAGTCCAGGATATTTCTTAAGGCTAAGATTTCGGTTGTTTTGTTCACTAGTGATTCCTAAAACAGAGAATGCTGGTCAGTAGGAATATATTTTACGATTAATAATAACAGTATAACTATAACTGGGTTGTTCAATGGATGTTTGAACATACTGGTTGTAAATAAAATCAGTTTACATACTATCAGTTTATATATTATCTATAATTTTCAAAGTGTTCGTAAAATAAAATCTTTTCTTTTGTTTTTATTAAATTCACTCCCTGTATGCTTGTGTAACAACGTATATTATGACATATTGTCCTGTTTCTGTTACCATAGTAAGTAGAGGAATAAAAGTTTGTGCAAGTTACTATATTCTTGACGTACAAATAGATACATAAAATAATACAGTCACTCACAACCTCAGAGCATAAAGGCTGGGAAATTAAAATCACGCGGACATTCTCCAGGCATTCACTGACATCAGTAAAAGAAGGAAACACAAGAAGAAAATAGCAAATAAGTTATTTTATCTGTCAATCGAAATCATCAAACAGATTACGCGTCACGTGTAAAGAAAATTGCTATTCTTACACATTGTTTGCTGGATAAATTTCTGTAAGAAATGTATCCATAGTGTTGATATGCCACTGGTAGCAATTAACTTACACGTCTTAAATTCTACCTAGGTAAATTCTCCAGCAAATTCTCATGGAAAGCCGAAAATGTATTCAAAAGATATTTTTACCCACAGATTAACTTTCTCCGACCAATTCCCAAAATTTCCCTATTTAAAATAATTCAAAAGGTGGGTTTTACCTACCTCTGTATAGATATATCGAAGTTGTGCCCCGCTAATCCCTTGGCAATACTCATTGCAATCAGAACTTTAAGTATTACAGTATAAAATTGTTGATGGATTCGACCGTTACTTGATGGAAATTCATTTTATGTAACAATAAAACACTGAAAACTTTGTTTTCAAACTTCCACAAAATTTATTTTAAATATTATCACTACAGCTGTTTCGGGCTGATTGCCTTTCTCAAGTGATCTATTTTGGCTTGGGTTTACAAATTTATAGTCTCTAATGAAATAGGTTGAGGAGGGGAGAACTGTTTGTCTCAAGTTGGTCATTCAGAATTATATCTGTGTTTTTTAATTTGTTGATTTCCATAGATTCTAACAAAGATAGCTTAAGGCCTTTATTTTGAATGTGAAGAATTTTAAATTTGTCATTAAAAGAATGATTATGATCTAGAAGGTGAAGTGCGTATGTCGAATCTGTTTTTCTATTCTTGAAAGCCTTTTAGGTTCTGCTATTCGTTTATCAAAGTTTCTACCAGTTTGACCGATGTAAAGTTTTTGGGCAGTCGCCACATTGAAGTTTGTACACACCACTATTTAAGTGTTTTTTATTTTGGCTCTTGTTATTTTTAATATACTGTATGGACAGTGATCGGCTGTTTTCAATAAAAGAACTTGCGCTAAAACTTTGGCTAAATATTAATTTAGTTGTAGTAACATTCAATTATTAAACTGAGTATTGTTTAAACTGATTGTGCTCTTATTCCCCACGCCAGTGATGGTCCTTCAAGTTGAAAGTAATTACAAGACTTGTACGCTCTAAAAGGGTAGCAAGATCGCCATCCTAATTTCTTGAACAAATGTCCGTTTAATTCTACAGTCATTAAAAGAAGACAAACGGATATGGGAGTAGAATCCAGTCGACAATAAATCAAAAAGTCAAGTAGGTACTTGACTCAAATGGATTCATACGTTAATGGAGACAAATCGTATAGGCAGAAAAGATCCACGAAAATTTCTGAAACTATTGTAGTGAGTGAGATGAAGGGAGAGGAAGAAAACCATCCAAACAGATCAAAGTAGTTTTTTTTTCAATATCCGAAGTGAACTGATAGTAATCTCATAGATGAATTAATTAATTATATGTCTTTATTATTTTCTTTTAGTTGTCGTTTTATTATGCTCCTTGTGATGCGCGTTTTTTGTCCTATTTTTGTTCCCTCTTATTGGCATGTTTATTATTATTTTTTTTTAATTTGTAACTGATATTAAAATAACATTTGTGATAATTTTAAACTAATTTCACACTGGAACCTCTTTATACTGTGCAAATTTATACAAGATACACATCGCGAGAAATAAACCAGATTTTTTAATACTGCAAGATTCATCGTTTACAAAAATTTATGTTACCTGATTTTTGCAATCGTTAACCACACGCCACTTCATTACGAACCATTAGAATAACTAAAAATAACAGGATATATATAATAAGCGCCGGTGTTGAATGAGTCGCTCAAGAGCATATATTTAAAACTGAAATGACTAGACGATTCGGCGGCATCTTTTAATCATCATTAAAAATGCTCGATTACAGTTTTCTGTAGACTACTTTTTCTTAAAAAATGTAAGAGTTTCCATTTAAAAACGGCCCTTGCTATGATCATAATAAATGAAGTTCTAAAATACTTTATACACCGAGACCCTTACGTCCGGTTCCACCAAAGTGATCTAAGTAAAATCTTACGTAAGTTTTGCTTAGTAAAAAAAATTTCTTAGTTGAAATTTGCGTTCCACCATACCAGTTTTTACTTAATTTAACCAAAGAAAAAACTTAAATGATCAAAGATACCAACTTCGCAAAAAACTATACGTACACTTCCGTGGAATGTAAAACAAAAAAAAATTATAAAAATAAAAATTCTATTAACAAAAAAATATCTATCTATACTGTATACAGATCACGACATTGTTTTATTGACCATACAGCACAATGGAAATCGCTGTGACATGTTACACGTTTCCACCTCTATATTCACATCACAGTAGGTAAGAATTGACGTAATTGTCACGTTGACATTAAAAATTTCAAACGAAGTTCTGAAAGGATAAACAAATAAATTAGTAAAATGCCATTACGTTGTATACCGTCCAAGAAAAAGTGCAACTTGTAACATGGGTCATGTACTTTCAGGATCATTCGATACGCGAAGTAATTGATTTATTTATTGTTGCCTTCGAAAATAGACCCCCACCAAGTGTTACAATAGTTAAAAACACCATTAAACATTTTGAAACTTCGGGATGTGTAAACAGTTGTAAAAAGTATCATGAAGGTGATGAACCACGTGTTAGACCTGTCGATGATGAGCGTCAAAACAGGGATATTGATATTTGTACTTTTGTGGAAGCTAGTGAACTCTGAAATAGTGTACAAATTGCTAGAGAAGTTAACGTGAATGCTCGAACTGTCCAGCGAGTTCTCAAAAGGAATGGGTATCACTGTTTTAAAGATACAACCAACACAAGAACTGTTTCCGAACGATAACTTTAGGTGGATGGAGTTTTATGAATTATGTTAGATAAACAGAATGAAAATGTACACTTTTTAAAAAATCTTTTATTTTCTGACGAATCTTCATTGTCATTACATAAAAACACAATCCATCCGTTACAAGGTATTATTCTCGTAAAAATAAGCACCTCAGTGTTGCAGTGCGAACGCAGCATCCGCAAAAGTTAAAATGTTTTGGACTGGGATGTTCTTCTTCTTGAGTACCGTGCCCAACTTTTAGGCGTGGGTAGCTTCCATGACGATTTTCCGATATCGTTCTCGATCTTGCGCGCATGTAATAATTATCATCTGCTGATTAAGCCAGCTCCATTGACGAAGGTTTCGAAGCCATGAGTATTTATTCCTACCAATTCCTCTTTTCCCGTCGATCTTTTCGTTGAGTATCAACTGCATTATCTTGTATATATGCTTCCTCTCATTATATGCCCAGTTATTCGAGTTTTTCTTTTTTATCATCTTTATTAAGTCACCTTCACCTTGACCTACTCTGTTCAAGACTTCTCTGTTTGAAATGTGTTGAACCCATTTGGGATGTTAGGTGACCATATTGTTTGTCCATTTTTTATCGATGAACACCTAAACGGGCCAAATATTTACAACTTTTACAGAATGAGATCATTCCGGCAGTTCGACACCTTCCTGTTAATTTTCAGGAGGTTTATTTTTAACAGATGAGTGTTCGGCTTACTCTAGAGCAACTATTGACTTCGTCAATCAAACGTTTCCTGATCGACTGATAAGTACACGTGGTACAATTAAATGGCCCGCTAGATCCCCTGACTTAGCGCCTAACGATTTCTTTATTTTTTTGGGTTTTCTCAAAGAAAACATTTATAGGCATCAGTTTGAAAGAGCCACAAACCTAGTCAAATTAAGGGCAAAAATACTTCATTTCTCTGCAAGCATTACACCAGCCCTACTCCAAAATATGAGGAGAAATCTGTATGACAGATTTGGTTACTGTTTAGCACAAGGAGTTGGAATATTTGAGCCATGGACCTATAGATTGAGCCCTTAATTCATTAATTTGCTTTTCTAATTTTTATTTTTTGTTAGGTACATTGTACGAAGTTTGTAGGTTCTTAATTAGGTAGTATTTTTTAGTTTAAGTTGAAGAATTTTAAGTTTTTTTTTATTGAAAAGACACGATTCTTATTCTGATTTTTTTCTCTTCTTGTCTTGTTGTTAGAAGCTTTGTCCATAAAATTTTTACAATTTTCATCGACAATAAAGCATATTATTTATTTACTTACTTATTTATTTGTATTGTTATTAAGGCTAAAAAATAACCAAAAAATTAGTTTTAGGGCATTATAATAAATATACTCTAGAGATGGGATTGCAATAAATTGCGACAGAAGATGAATTTAAAGCATGCTTCAAGTTAAAATTTTTGCTTAAGTCGTCTTAGGGACTGAGCTTGAGCAAAAATATTTGTATGTACTTAAGAAAATATTTTTAGTTGGAGGAACGAAACTCAAACGGACTTTGTCTAAAGTTGGTCATGTAGAAGTATGTCTCTATTTTTAATTCGTTAATTTTCATAGATTTTAGTAAAGATAGCTTAAGGTCTTTATTTTGAATGGGAAGAATTTGAAATTGGTCATTAAATGAATGATTGTGGTCTAGAAGGTGAAGTGCGTACGTAGAATCTGTTTTTTTTATTATTGAAAGCCCTTTGTGTGTTCTGCTATCCATTTGTTAAAAGTTCTACCAGTATTGACCAATGTAAAAGTACACATTTCTTTTTTTGGCTCTATTTTAGCTCTCAAGATCGCTTGAGAAAATTAATTTTAATACATTTTGCGGAAGTTTTTAAAACAAAAGGTTTCAGTATTTTATTGTTAAATAAATATACACTTATCTATATTCCATTATGAACTTACAAGTATACAAATAGAAAAACAACTCACCCTACTAGTTAATGTACAATTTTGACAACTAAGTCCCATAAATGGTCTTCTTTTGCCTAGTTGCACATCTGGTACATTGTCTTTGCTATCGAATAGTTGATTTTCTGCAGCCTGTAATAAAAAATTCTATAAAACATCTACGCAAATGAGAACTGTGTATACAGGTTTGTAAAAAAGTGTGAATTTTTTGTAGGTACTTTAACCAAGGAATATATACTCATATAATACGTCTAAATTTTCTACTTAAACTGATGGCAAGAAAATGAGAGTATCTCAATATAATGAGGTGGCAGAGAGTATCTCCTTATATATTAACAATAAATAAGGAAAATCCAGAAGCCGAAATGAAATTAATGGCCTATGGGGTAAACTCAAAGATGCCTTAAACATTAGACGGGACCAGCATCAGAAAATAACGGAGAAACCTAGGCTGGGACTCATCATCTATGCCCCGACTGCAGATAGAAAATATGATGATGAAGTTGAGAAGTTGAATGAACAGATCCAAGACATCTAACAGAAACTTAATAAACACGAAATTTTATCTAGTATAGGCGACTTCAGTAAAAAGATTGGGGAAGGCCGACGAGGTCAGACTGCAGGTCTTTATGGTCTAGGTTAACCTAACAATCGCGGACAGAGATTGTATGAATTTTGTAAAGAAAACGATATGATCATTGCAAACACCTAGTATAAACTACCCAAGCGCGGACTATACACTTGGAAAGGTCCATTTGATGATAACAATATCCCTGAGTCCTCAAGAAATTAAATAGACTATATACTTGTAAATGAGCGTTTCCGAAGTACCGTAAAAACAGTGACAATATTTCCTGGGCAGATATTGGATCTGATCATCAACCACTTGTAGCAGATATTAAACTAACGTAAAAACGAATTCAGCGACAAAAACCTAAAACCAATGTCAAACTTCTATCGTAAAAATTGGAGATAACTACACCGAGGAAATCTCCATACAACGAGGAGTCAGACAAGGTTGCATTTTGTCGCCAACATTGTTCAATGTTTACTCGAACCTGTTATTTAAAAAGGAACTACTTAATGTGATTAGATATGCATAGGATGACAGTAATTCTGTCAGATAATATTGAAGGTCTCCAAATTCTGCTTGATCGTATTCACGAGGTAGGAGAGGAAATGGGCATTAAAATAACCTCAAACAAAACCAAATTTTTAGTGTTTAGTCGTGACCCACATCCCGATGAAAAGCTTCAATTAAACGGAGTCCAAGTTGAGAAAGTACACAAAATGACATATTTGGGAACTGTGATAACGGACCAACTAGATCCAAACATAGAAATAAAACGTAGAATAGCAATGACTAAAACTACTTTTATGAAAATGAAGTAATTTCTTTGCAATAATCATCTCAGTTTAGAACTAAGACAAAGAATGGTTAAGTGCTATGATTTGGTCCGTACTTTTGTATAGTGCAGAAGTGTGGACGCTAAAAGTATCGATCATGAACAAAATTGAAGCATTGGAAATGTGGGTTTATAGACGAATGCTGAAGATACCTTGGACAGCAAGGAAAACTAATGAAGAAGTACTAAGGAGCGTCAACAAAGATAGAGAACTGCTAAAGACTGTTAAACATCGAAAAATGTCTTATCTGGGACATATAGTAAGGGGAAGTCGATAAAAAATATTAAAACTGATCCTTAAAGGCAAATAGAGGCGTAGAGGTGTAAGAAGGAAACGGGTTTCTTATTTGAGGAACATTCGTGAATGGACTCGGATATCAAATGGGGGACAATTATTCCATATTGCAGAAGATCGAGAAGCCTTCGTAATGGTGATCGCCAATGTCAAATAATTCTGATAAGGCACGCGAAAGAAGAAGGATTCATCAAGAGTTGAAGGATTGCAGAGCCAGAATAATGATGATAATGTCAGTAAATGGTTTTTTGTTAGTTATTTTACCTTTTCCTTAGTAAAATTCAAATCCGTAGATCGAAAATCGTTTTTTCCTGGTGTTGGTAAGATATGTTTATTAACATATTAATACTATTTTGATAAGGGTATTTATTGTACAGGTGGAATGCAACAAAATTGTCATAATCGTTTTTAAAATGTGTCTAAATTGTTATATGGTATTTCAAAACAATTTTGTAATGAGTAAACTATCTTATCAACCGTAGCGTTTTAATCCGAACCTAGAGGCATAATTTTTGATGCTAATTAAATAATTTATCAGTATTGACTTAGTTTTAAATTTTTTTTTTATAAACTTAAACTGAGATATCACAAACTGTCTGTGCTAATACTGTGTATACTGATAAAGTTCATTTGTTACACGGCTCATTAAGCTATATATTACTTCAGATTTATTAATACGGACACTGTTTTGGTTATGTTATAGATAATGTACTAAATCCAACCATTGGCTACGGAAAAGATCGTATGATCGTGAAATGCTTGTAAACATTCTACACTTACTGATTACAATTAAAAGAAATTAATAACGCTATTTCAGCTGTTGTGTTGAAACGTTATATTTAAAGTGCACAAATAATGTACATACTCATTAATGAATGTAAACATTACTAATTTTATACGGAAAGGTATTCATAAGCAATTAAATTGAACTTTCACTGACAGAATGCAATAAACGCAAATATTTATATTTAGTGTATTAGTATACAAATTAAGAAGAAAGCTAGGAAAACGGATTATATTGGTACATTGAATGTTCAAGGTATCTCACAAAAAATTAACGACATAATTTCAGAAACAAAAAAAGCTAATATGGATTTTAGTACTTACTGAGACCAAAAAGAAGCGGCAAGGGCTAAAGAATCTAGTAGAAAATGACCATGTTTTCTCTAGAAGACCTGAAGATAAAAAAGCCCAGCAAGGAGTGTCCATACTTATTCGAAAACTACTACGATACATAACATCCTGGAATGCAGTGAGCCAAGATACAGGCGAAAAAGATTTTCGGAGAAGCTGTAGAAGACCGAACAGAAGCTATAATTGCCAATGTAGTCATCAATATCTAAGTTTTGATAATTACCATCCACTGTCATCCACATGTCTATCCATTTGTCCATTTTAGCCCACATTCAACGGCACCAGAAGAAGAAAAACGCAGTACAAATTTGAGCCATAGCATTTGTATATTTCCTAATAATGCGCCCCATGCTCGAAACCACATAAAAAAAAATCGCATACGCAGAGATAACACAAGCCTTAAGAATTAGAAACTACTTAGCACATCCTAACAAACGACCTGGCTACCCTCGGTAGCCAGCGCGTCTCCCTGTCTTAGACTATTATTAATGTCAAAGAACGTAAAGTTTTCTTTCTTCAATTCAAACGCATGAGCTTACGTTTTGCATTGAGCGCTGTCATAGGCTGCTTTGAAGTCGACGAAGAGATGGTGGTGTATCTATGTTATATTCTAGTGACTTATTCTAGAATCTGCCTATGTGCTTGAAATTGATGTGTAGCCGACTTTCCAGCAGTACATCCGCATTGATAGACCAATAATATCCTTTGTAAAATGTTTAAGTCTTTCAAACAATACATAGCCGAAGATGTTATACGCAGATGCTAACAGAGTAATGCCTCTATAGTTCTTACATCCAGTTGATCACCCTTTTTTATGCAACAAACATGTAATTTCCTTTGTAACCTCGTTCATGTTGTCATCTCCTTGTAACCTCGTTCAATATCATTTATATTTAGATATTCGCTGAAATGTTGTGTCCATCTGTTAAGAACCGAGTTTTTATCATGTAGAATTTCATCGTTAGTGTTTTTCCAAATTTTTAATCGTGGTTTAAATTCTCGACGGCTATTATTTAAGGATTTATAGCATTTCCTCGTTTCATTTTTGTCAAATAAACTTTGTATCTCATTCGTTCGTATTCCCTCTTCTTACGTCCATGGATATGTTTTTCCTCTTTTTTAAAACGTCTATAGTCTTCGTTTTTTTTTGTGTACAACCTGCATGATGGTTTTCTTGATATGCTGCGTTCTTTCTATTTATGGCCATTTCGCACTCATGATCAAACCAATGATATCTTTCGTCTGACTTGGTTTTGCCCAATATTTTAACCGATTTCTGAAACACAATATCTCGTATATGTGCTCATAGTTGGTTAATGTCTTCTTCTTCTAAGTATTCTGTCCTTAGTTGATCTTCTATTTACTGTCTGGTTACATTGACAATGTCGGGATCTTTTAGTTTATTAATGTCGATTTTTTCTCTCCTTTTCCCGATCTCCTTTTTAAATTGGATATTCTCTCTTTAAATCGTGCTTTAACTAAATAGTGATTACTCCTCTAAAGTCCTAACATCTAATACGTTGGAGCAGTGTCTTGCATCGATGATCTATTTGGCTAACCGTTTCATTATCAGGAGATTTCCAAGTTCCCTTACGTATATCTTTATGGGGAAATCGTGTCCCAGCTATTACCATGTTCTTAGACCTCGCAAAGTTTATGATTATGAGACCGTTATCATTAGAGTCCACGTGTAGGCTCTCTTTTCCGATGGTGGGCAAAAATATATTCTCTCTTCCGACTTTGGCATTAAAGTCCCTACTATTATTTTGATGTCATTTTTTGGGCACTCATCGCAAAACTCAGAACCCGTAATAAAATTCTGCAAAACTTATACAACACCATATAGGGCTTCTTTATTACGAAGTCTGGTATAACCTATCGCCGAATATACCGTACGGTGTGGATCCACAACCCACACACCAACCGTGTTGATCAACCAAGCTACACGTACTATATCAGGTACAATTAAGGACACTCTCACTTATTGGCTACCACACAATAAATAATTCAACATAATTGAGAAATGAAGAGATTGAGAAGAGAAGCCTACAAACCGGGAACATGTGATACATGTAAGCCAGAGAGTTACGTTTCAGGTGGGAAACCAAATGCTCTCCTCATATTACGACTACCACGATTCTTCTTCTTAACGTGCCCTATCAAGTCCCCTTGACGTTGGCGATTAACATGGCGAAACTGTCTCTGTCTCGAGCTATTCTAAATAGTTGCCCAGCTTTATTTATTCCTGTCCACTCCCTGATATTCTTCAACCAAGAGGCCTGCTTTCTACCAATTCCTCTGCGTCCTTCGATTTTACCCATCATAATAAGTTGAAGAATATTATATCGGTCTCCCCTTACTAACGTGTCCAAAATAGGCCATCTTTCTACATTTGATGTTATCAAGCAGCTTGCGAGCAGCATTTGCTCTCTCAAGAACTGCCACATTTGTCAGCATAGCCGTCCATGGAATTTTTAGTATACGTCTGTGCAGCCACATTTCAAAGGCCTACAGACGATTAATGGTGGATATTTCTAATGTCCATTCTTCGACACCGTATAAGAGGACTGACCAAATGTAGCATTTAACCATGCGCTTTCGAAGTTGAAGTTGCAAGTTATCATTACAGAAGAATGACTTCATTTTTAAAAATGTCGTGCGGGCTATCTCGATTCTACATTTTATCTCTTGATCTGAATCTAGTTGTTCAGTAATATGGCTACCAAGATATTTAAAACTGGACACTCTTTGAATTATATGACCATCAACATATAATCGTTGCTTCTTGATGTGCTAAACGGCTAAACACCATGTGTTTTGGTTTTTGCACAGTTTATGTTTAGGCCAAACTCTCTTCCACTCTATCAATGGCATTTAAAAGGCATTGTAATCCATTCATGTCATCACTTTAAAATAACTGTATCGTCTGCATATCTGATTGTATTTATCAGAATTCCATTAACTTTCACGCCCCATTCCAAATTATGCAGCGCTTCTTTAAATATTATATCAATTATAAATTAAATAACAGTGGGATAGTATACAACCCTGTCTGATACCAGTCGTTGTATTTTACATATTTCTGTTGATTTTCCGTTTATGCAAGCTGTCGCTGTTTGACGCCAGTATAACTTTTCTATGGATCGTATGTCTTGACTATCAACTCCTTTATCTTTTATTATTGTAATTTAATTTGTGATGCTGTACTTGATCAAAGGCCTTTTCATAGTCAGTAAATACAGCAAAGACGTCTTTCCTTTGATCTCGACATTTCTACAGTAAATACATTTAGTGCAAAGAGCCCGATTACTGATTTTTAAGTTGCGCAAAAAAAATCAATTTAATTATATTTATACACCTCCATGTTGGTTTGTGAAATTTATTTTTGTAATCATCATCATTCTGGCTTTACAACCCCGTGTGGATCCTAGCTTCCTCAAGAATTTTTCTCCAGTGGTCCCTATCCATCGCCTTCCACCGCCAAGCACGTAGTTCCATATTTTTCATGTCTTCATCGATGTTATCAAGGAACCTTGTTCTGGGTCCTCCTCTTCTTCTCTGACCAATGGGTCTATCAATGAGCGTTTTGTAGCTGGGTCATTTTGTTACATCCGCATTATATGTCCTATCCACCTTATGTATATTTTATAAGGTTCCAAGTTGTATCGCCTTCTCCACACTCCATTGTCATTCACTGCTCCATAGATTCGCCTTGGTACCTTTCTTTCGAAACATCCCTCATGTTTTCATTACTTTTTGTTAGAGTTCAGGACTCTGAACCATATGTTAAGACTGTTTTTTTGAGTTTTATTTTTGTATTTCTCGATATAATTGTGGATATAAGAAGGATATTGAGCCCAAAATAGCATCTGTTGGCGGGCAAATTGTGCGGTTTATCCTTTGCGGTATTATTTTCAGTGTTAAGGAGCGCTCCTAGGTATACAAAGTCGATGACGTCGTTTTCTATAACAAGTGGTCGTAGAATTTGTGATTGTATGCTCTATTAAAGCGTTTTTTCGTTCTCCCAACAATATTGATATCATCCGCATAGCCAATGATTTGCACTGATTTATTATATATCGAACCAATGGTTGTGATTTGTGATATACGTATTACTTTTTCCAGAGCCAGATTAAACAGTATAAAGGAGAGATATAGTCTCCCTGGCGCAGCCCGTTATTTGTTTTAAAAGGTTCAGACAGTACCCCCTGAATTCGTACTCTACATTCAACTTTTTCATTTTTGTTATTATTATAATTATCGTTTATAATACATTGTTCATAACATTTACATAGAAAACTATTTACAACTTACTTGTGATACTTATAGGTAAATAATTTTCTCATAGCATGAAATTGGGAATGATTAAATAAAATAAATTTAAAATAGAAAAATATGCGCTGTGTTAGAGGTATATTTTGTATTTATCATCAAGGCTTAAAATTAATATCCGGATTCAGCACGATTTAAACAGAAAATATATTAAACTATGAGAGTCTTACCTGTTGATCAGCCTCTCTGGTTAAGTTTTCTTGAATTTCTGGTCTCTAGAAAATGTTCTCATAATCGTCGACGTTGCCACAGACTGGTTGTGATTATTATTCGACGGAGAAAATTTGTTGTAGGTATCAAAAACACGGTTTGTTACTATGTCCACCATTTTGTTAACTCTGGAACAAAACATTTTTACTTATTTATGTGCGTTTAATAGCGTAATCTCATTTTAACTGAAATATACGTTTATATGTTTATAATGACACAGTGCATCAAGAATTTTATATAGACTGGTTTGATACAAGACTACTTTGTTATTCGTGATGCTCGTGATTTTTTTTATAATTTACATTTAAATACATTTACATTTTAGATAAACAGTCTTCGCAATAGATTTTGTGGGTTACAGCTATGGGTTACTTTAAACATAATTTTAAAGTCATTAAACAAGTTTAAGACCGGTTGGTTACTTTGGTATTGTAACATATTGTATTGTATTTTAACTTTTAACATATGTAAGAGAGTTATTTGTCAGAAATGAAAGAAAGTTTATAAACAAGGTCTTCTTCTTTGGGTTCCGTATAATCGTCAGAGGTTGGAAATCAATATGCGATTCAAACTTTATTTGCATCTGTTCTAAACAGCTCAATTCTTGTTAAGTCCAACCACATCCCGCAAGTTCTTCTCCTGCATAATTCCGTTTGCCTTTTAGTAAATAACTGAAGTTTTTGTCTAATTTGGAAACATGGTATCGAGGCTCAAATGGACAAAAGCGTTTTGCGCTCCAAGTATACGGAGGGAATCAAAATCAATATATTACTACTGTTGCCTGATGGATTTTTTGTCTTACAGGAAAGCGCAATACCATAAGGAAATTATATTTTAAGATTAGCGTCAAAGAATGTCCCAATTGCCGTTGTGAAAGTTATCCTGTTTCTATCCCAGCAGGATTAAAAATTGTATCAAGAAAGAGATGATTATCAAATTTATCGAAAGCAGCAGTACTAGTACTGCAGACGGTAGAAGGATGTTATGTAGGCATGCAGTAAAAACCAATCTACAGATAATGGGAGTACAACAATGACTGCACGAGACCGTCAACAGTGAAGGAAAATAGTAAACGAGGTCTCACCTAGAATTGTAGAGCCGATGATGATGAAAGTCGAAGGGAAGGGATTTTACTGGCTCTCTAATTAAAAAAATGCTAGCCTTCGCATCGTCGGAATTCCAAGAAAAGTTCAACTTTAGTTAAAAGAAAACTTCAACAAGCAAACACTTCACTAAGTACTAGACGAAGTTTTGGACAATCCAAAACATTATCTATTTACACGATAAGATTAGTGCGTAATCTATTTACAAGATAAGAAACAAAACTTTTTTAAACCAAATTAAAATTTGATATAAACCAAAATGTATCATAAATATTGCCTGTAAGCGTTAAGAAGAAACAATAGAAGTAGATGGGTAAGCGGGGTACTGGATTACTTTGGTAACCTGTCCATCAGGATCTGTGTGATGATGGTCAACGGAGGGTACTACAGCCTGGTTGGACCTCTGGGGTGTACAAGAAGTGATCGACAATAACTAGAGGGTTGTAAGAAGTGGTCGATTATCGCTAGATCTCTTCTTCCTCTCCTGAAGAAGTGATTGATAATGACCAGAACGTCGTAAGAACTGGTCGCTTATCTCTAGATCTACCTGTCCTCACCTGAGTGTAATTACCTGTCCTGAAGAAGTGAATCGACAATGACCAAAGGATAGCTTTATTTTTCTACAATTTTCAAGAGTAAAAAAATGAGACTCCTCTGGCTAGGCTACGCTAGGCTAGACAGATTTTATAAGGCTAGGCAAACAATTTATTTTTTTTTAACTCATCAACACCTAGAAAAATTTTCCTCGGTACAAAAAGTTTCAGTGCAAAATTTATTTCGATCACTATGTACAAATTTAATGAAAAGAATAGGAGATCTAAAAATAAGCGATAAGTTTTGCCCTCGATATACAGGGTGACCTTTTAGAGGGAGAGAAGAGATTTAGAGATAAGCGATGAGTTCTTACGACCCTCTGGTCTTCGACGATAGCTTCTTGCACTTTCTCAGCTATCCTCTGGTCATTGTCGATCACTTCTTCAGGACAGGTAATTACACACCGGTGAGTCAGGTAAGGTGACAATTCTTCGGTAGAGAAGAAGGGATCTAGAGGTTAAGCGACCAGTTCTTACGACCTTCTGGTCATTGTCAATCACTTCTTCGGAAAAGAAGAAGAGATCTAACGATAAACGACCACTTATTACAACCCTCTAGTCATTGTTGATCACTTTTTGTACTTCTTGTACACTCCCGAGGTCAAACTAGGCTGTGGTAACCCCCTTCACTATCACCATCACAGACCCTGATGGACAGTTTACCAAAGTGATCTAGTACCCCCGCTTACTCATCTACTAATAGATCTATTCAAATTGCAAAAAATGCCTATTAAATGCAATAAACCACACCATGTAATTCTAGTAGGACTATTAAAGATGTAGTGAGAACAAAACAGAAATAATAATTGAATATTATCCACTATACACAAATTTGGAGAAAATTAAACAAAAATTTGACATACTTCATTATATGATCATGAAACAATTTATAGAATATTGAAGAAAAAAACAAACAACTCTGATCACTACCTAGTAGAAATAAAAGTAAGGCTAAAATTATTGAAACAAACTAAATGTGAAAAAATATTAAAGAATCAACTCTACATGGTGCAATAGTACTGAAAGAGAAGATAAACAGAAAGAAGCAAGTTGAATTGACAAAGAATGTAAATCATAATTAAAGCAAAAGAAGAAAGATAATAAATGGTAATCCATCCAAGAGAAACTAATAACTGTTAGAAGGCAAGAGAAAATACTATGTATCTCATAAAAATTTTATAAATCAAAAAGCGAAGATGTCTAGTAAAACTAATATAGATATAGTGAGAAAAATACAAGAAACTAGTATGAAAGTATATGCATAGTATCAAAAGATCAGGAATGATTACGTTATTGGAAGGATTTGGTATGAATGCAAAATTTGTAAAATTGATACGGATGATATTAAAGAGTACGCAGTGTAAAGTGGAAAGACTTATTATCCAAGGAAATGCAGAAGACCGAAAATCACGAGGAAGGTTCCTAACAAGATCAATCGACCAAATTACGGAGGAATTTTGTGGGAATATGAAAAATACCTATGCATCAGTTGAAAGAAATGATCAGATTTGGAGACAAACCATACACGACATCACGGAGTATCAGGACTGAAGAGAGAGAGAGAGAAGAGAGAGAGAGAGAGAGAGAGAGAGAGAGAATGTAGAGTAAGGAAGCTTAATAGTAAAAAAACATTGAAACAAGGAGACCCTCTATCGATATTATTTCTAATTTAGTACATGGATTAACGTCAATACGTTGGTTTAATCAAAAATTTAACTTAAGGAGATATAGAAGACCCCAACAACTATAGAGGTATAAATGTACTACACCGCACTTAAGCTTACTACAAACGTCCTAATCAATCAAATCAATAAACTAACAACTTTATTAGACGAACAACAAGGATTCAGATCCGGAAGATCCTGCGTAAGCGCCTTATTTGTGCTAAGACAAATCACAGAAAAGGCCATCGAGTACAATAAGCCAGCATATCTATGTTTTATAGACCTGACAAAGGCTTTCGATCGCATTCAAGTCGTCTTACACCTACAGTATAAAAGAAACATACCAATCAATATTATACAAACCATCGAAAATATCTACTTCCATAATCGAATACAGACAAAGACAAATGGAAAACTAACATGGTGTATACCAGTATAAAGCGGAGTCAGACAGGGTGACTCGTTAAGCTGACTTCTCTTTAATATAATAATGGACGAAATAATACAAGCAATGTAAAGGTAATGGTTACAGAATGGGGAACAAAGAAGTCCAAATATTATACTTATTATGCAGACGACGCCGCTTAATCGCCGAGAAAGAAGACGACCTCCAAAGATTATCACACATCTTCAATACAACAGCCAGAAAATACAACATGATAATATCAAAAGAAAAAAAACCAAATGTATGACAACATCTAAATACACACTACGATGTAAAATCGAAATTGATGGGAAAAAAATAAAGCAGTAAGCAAGGTTAAGATATCTGGGAATAGATATAACTAGTTACGGAAATGTGGAAGAAGAAGTACTACAACACAGCTTAAAAGCAAGTAAAAGTGGCGGCATCTCTTAATGACATAATCTGTAAGAACAAATACCTCTAAGACAGGACACAAAAACAAGAATCCAGAAACAAGTAGTAATGGAATTGTTAGTATCCTTCTGAAGGTAATAGAAGTTAGAGATAAAGGTAAAGATCTTCTGAAACAAAAAGGCTGTTTAATCCTTTGACTGATTCATGCTCAGGTCAGAACAAGAATTTTTTAATGGTGTGAATTAAAAAATATCTTGTGAGGACAGAAAATGTTGATAATAGATTACAAGTTTCCTGAAATGGAATATTCCTACTTGGATTCAGATCGTGATGTTGGAAGAATCAAAAAGTATTTGTGGAAACATTAAAAAACCTGCACACCAGACCAGTACCAAGAAATCATTGTATTTTCTAACAGAAAAATTGACATAAAAGATCACTTTAGAAATACGGAGGATTTATCAAAAATATGAAGGGTCTCTTGAATGAAAAGGTCTGTTTCGGGGATGGGATTAAATTTAGACACAATCTTTTGAATCGTAACTCTTTAAAGAAACTTACAACCCCTACATGCCCTTCAAAAAGGTCATCCTTCATAAAGATTATGATTCATCACTAACTTTGCTAAACAGTCTTTCAAGGTTTATTCAGGAATTCTGGAGCCACAGAAAAAATCCAAAACTTAAAGGTACTGCTATGTTTTGTTTCTGATCAACACAAATGGTTTTATGAACAAGTTTTAAAGGAGCAAGAAGAATACAGTAGTTTGTTTACTAACTGTATCATATCCTCTATAGTTATCATTTTCAATAATTTTCATTAAAAACTCTACCTATTTTATCAATATTAATGTTTCTCTTCTTTTAACTTTCAATAAAAAAAATTAATGAGGAAAGAAAATTTATGGAAATATGAGTTTATTAAGATCGCGAAGATCAAAATATCAAA